ATAATATAGTTATAAATGATTTATATAATAATAGTTAGTAAGTATCGCAGTGCACTCTTCAGACCCTGAAAGGGATGCCACAAGGACGAGTGGTGGGCGGCTGGCAGACACCTCGCCCCGTTCTCCACTAATTTCGCCTTTGTTTGTGGTTTGCGTTTTCGTTTGTTGAGCAGCACAAAAAGTTTTAATTGACTGTTGCGAATACGGCGCACGGAAAAGCCTCTGAAAATTCCGAGTTGACTTGGCTCCGCACTGCCGGCTCCCCAGATCTCCTGTCTCTGCTCTAATCAGGCATTGGAGGAACCCTTTTTCCATTCCTAGCTACCTACCTACCTACCTGGCTATCTGTCCGTTGGCAAGTTGTTTGCTTTTATATTTTCGGGATTTTCGCTTTTTAATTTATTTATTCTGAAGCGATCCCTTTGCCCGAAAGCGAAAAGCGCAGCCCGCGAAGGAGATAAATGTGGTTGGGCAAACTTGACACGAAATTGGTTTAAATATTTGCCAGCCACATTTCCACACTTAAGCCGGGCCCATTTCCCCGGTTAACTTTCGCCTTAATGTCCTGTTTAAAGCTATTTGCATTTGAAATGAGGTGAAAGTGCATCAAAGCGTTTGTCTGTGTGTGATTTGTGTTCTCATTTGTGTTTGTGTTTGTGTTTGTGTTTGCCATAGACAGGCTCAATAGCACCTGAGCTCTTTATGCCGCCTGGCAGATGGGTCGATTGCAAGGTGGATGAGTCCTTTTTCCTTTGCGATTCGGCTGTTGTTTCTGTTTCTGCCTCTGTTTGTGCATGCATCCGTCAATAAGGCAACTGAATTAATCACGCAACTGTGAACACCTCCCACCTGCACGGGGGAAAAAAGTCAATTGTTCGCTAATTAATAAGGCTTAAGAGATTACAGTATTGTGGAAGTTCAGGGATCCTTTTTCACGTTCAGGTTAAAGCATATTTAAGTTAAATATCCCTTTAATGTGACGGACTTACTGACTTAATTCTATGTTGATTCTTAGAGAATGTTAAGTTTAAACGGATAAAGGATTTAAGTTTTCAATAAATGGAGGTTAAAATCCTATCATAAGTACTAGTTTCTCGCAGTGCAGGACTGTTGCAACCCGGTGCATTTGTTGTTGCTGCTGGCGCTGCTGCCATTGACTGCCTGTCTGACCAATTATGGTGCAATTAACACACTTGATTGCCTGGAATCTCTGACTCGTTTACCGTTAACGGTCCCACCTGTGTTTTTGCACCTGTGCGTGCAAGAGGGCTTCGACTTCTCCGCCTCTTGGCTTCTGAAAATACCGAAATCCTTGTGCCTTTAGGTGGCACGGGCCACCTTGGCGTATGCTTGATGTGGCAGGCCGAGCAAAGCTTGTTACTGCAAAACTTTTTGGCTAAAACAACTCGGCCGTAAAGTCGATTGCCGCTGGCCAAAGTGTGCGTCCCAAAATAGCTCAACCATCGACTTGCTGAATTTTTATTTTATGCGAGGTGTCGACGGCAGCTGGAGGTTAACTCACTTTACGAGCCCTGCCATCTTCAATTCTGGCATTAAATTTGGCCCAAATGCAATTGAAATAAATGTAATTTCATAAATGGCCTTTCTTCAGACTGATACCTTACGTTCCTAGAATAAACATTTCACATCTATTTGCATAGAATGCCAGAAATACTTTCACGAGTTGAATAAACACGAGAATTAAAGGGAAAGCAGAGTATTAATTTCTGCAGAAATGTTGAGTTCTTTGATTGTCCTCGATCAATAAGCCGAACTGGCCATGCTCATGATTGTGTTTGCTGTCACTCGCCGTCTAATTTGATTGAATATCCTGGCCCATAGGCCTAAAGGCCGACTATCCAGTCCTGAACCAACAAAGTCTGGCATTAAATATGAGGCCAGCGGCAACAATAACCGGCTGAAAGCCACAAGTTGTGCGTTTAAATAATTTATCAAAATAAAAATCCGGAAAAGGGGCATAATCCCACTAGGCTGCCTGCTGCCCCTAATATAACACGGTGATGGACGAGCCATGCAAAAGGCCGAGGGCACTTCCTACTATGGGCGTATCTTTTCCGGTATAAAATATAATGTTAGTTTTAGAGACAGTCATTAAAAATGGCTTTCTCAAGGTGTCTTTCCGTTTTACCTCTACTCACACTCTACTATAATTTACAAAAGTATACTCAGAGGACCCCCTTTTTGCTACGCCCCTGGCATTAACAACACTAGCAATAAAATGACACTAAACGGCAAAGGCAACCGCAACAGGAAAAGGAAAATGACAATGAAAATGAGTATGAGAATGGGAATGAAAAGGGAGTCCTTCGCAAGGACACTGGCCTTATTATGTTGACATTCCATTCCGATATCGGGGAAAGGTTAAGGCGGTTCTATAATTGATTAGGTTCGGCTCCGCCAATAGAGCTCGCTTGGTTAACAGAGGGCCCTCCCCAGTGGGTCATTCAATCCACGTGAGTGTATGTGTCGGATCTAAACAATAATTTATGACCTGTATACAGAGACATTAATCTTTATTGGAATTGAAAAGTACCTTTACTTTGCACGCATTGAGTTGACAAGCCATCGCTATTTCCATCGCCATTTCCCCCATCATCCAGCGCCATTCCGAAATCATAATAGGGAAATTAAGAGCCAGGGGTAAATGATTTTCCGTTTACATTTGCATATGAATGAGAGCCGAGATCCAAGATCCCAGGGGACACAACTCTCGGCAATTACGCGAGGTTAATTAAGCTTCATGGCTGCCATTGGCGGCTTAGTGGGCTGAAGTGAAGATTGCATCTGTCGGCCTAGATGCTGATGAAATATTACTGCAGACGAGCCTCCGCTTTTTGCAGGCAGAGAAACTGCCAATTTTTTTTTTTTACTTTTGACTGCTTTTCAAAGTTGTAATAATTTGTAATTCATTTTCAAATCTTAATTGGTAATTCTGTATTTTCTTAATTTTACAAATATTAATAATGAATAAAGAACTATTTTATAAACTTTGAATTAGTGAAAGATTAACATGAGTAAGTCTTTGGAACGCGTAAAAGAATCATAGCTTGGTAATACGACATATTAGTTTCACATTTTCACATCACCTGCTTTCTGCTTTAAACTCAAGATTTTTTTTAACTGTAGGCCCAATTCTTTTCCGTGTGTGCCAGCGCTGAAACCTTTGGACATGATTCATTTTTCATAATTTGCATTTATGCAGATTGAGGCAGCTATCGGGAGTGCGGCGCTAACTGGGCCAGAGGCTGTTTTTTATTAGAGAGCCGACTCCGGGGTCTTCAGCGGATCCGTCGATGGGTGTGCAGAGTGTGTAAGTGTGTGTGAAGCGGCGTTTCCACAAAACATCCACTGGAGCTGGAGCTGGAGCCGGAGCCAGTCAAGTGTTGAGCTTAGACACAATTTATCAGCTGAACGATTTGATTTATATGGTTAGACATGGCATGCGTCACGTCAGGGCTGCTGCGGTAGTTGGTCCACTTGGAAAAATTCAAAAAATATTTGGAAAATATAAACAGTTTTGGTATTGAAGAGATTGAATATATTATATTGCTTAAATTATTAATTACTCTTTATTAATGAAGGAGAGTACCTTTAAGAAGAGTATCTTTAACATGACTCGTTCTAAGATAAGTTTGAAAATATCTAATTTGATTTGAGAAGATACAATAGCAATCTTCCTAGTTCTTAAGCACTCTTTGTTTGGAGTGTAGCCGTCATTGTTTCTGTTTCTCGGTTTTCATTATTATGTTATGTGTGTTTTATCTCGCTGCCATTTGTGGAGCACTTGCTCATGAAAATGGAAAGTATATGGCTTGCGAGAAAGAAAAGAAATTGCGGCCCACTGAGATGTTAATGTTAACATGCATGCCTAAACATAAAAATTATAACCACATACTTGCCAGCCCCTCTTTTTGATTGAGACTTGGACATGGACTTGGAGTCACAGTCAATGTCGGAGTCGGAGTTGGACCTGTACTCATACCCGTACTTGTACCTGTTAGGTCTGGTGTGAATAACCTGGCTAATGGCTGGTGCGTGCCTCGCCGATGATCATAACCACCGTTCATCTGCGCTTCTCTCTCCGATTGTCTGGGTAATTAGTTGACGGGCCAAACAATTTGCGAGGAGGAAAGTGACTCTTGTTGGTTGTCACTTTGTGGCGGCATTGTCCAAGGCTTAACCCCATTAGCTGAATTGGCGCACTTGCCAATCGGCCGCGAAGATCGAAGACCAAAGAAGAAACCGAAAACCGGTAGAAGACAAGGGCCAGAAGAAGCCCAACTTTCTGCGAAGAACAGCGCTCGAAACTTTTACCCAGCGCCAGAAAAAAAACGAAGACAACATCAAACGACAAAAGAAAACAAAGTCGGACAATGTAAACTCATTCACGAAGCTGGGCCAGTGTTTCTCCGGAGAAGAGAGCATCTGCATCTCGGGGGCAGGTCCCCCATTTTTAGTACCTCCGCGGCTTTTAGATCCATTCAGGGGATGCAGAGAAAGAAAAGGTATTGTTATCTTTTTTTTTTGATTAAGTCATTCACTAAATGAGGGAAATTTGCAGATGCCAGCAGTCCATAGATCTCTATTCTTTGCTTTTGCTAAATTAAAAAATAGCTTTGAAAAATAATTAGGAAAATTGTCCATTTAGTTCCTTCCTTTTTTACTTTTCTATGCGAACAAATGTTAACTTTCTAAAAGAAAACTATAAACTTAAGAAGATATTTTTACATATAAGCAATTTTATAATTTTAAATAATAAAAAGAGTTCTACCTACAGTTTTGGAATTGTTAAATCCCAAACCTAACATTAGTTTAGATTCACTTCTTGTTAACGAAAAACCAAGATATCTTGATGATCCAGTTTCTTGCTGTGCATCGGGGCAAACCAGTTTCACCTGCAGAGCGGCTCCAGAGAGCTTGGCCCAAAACCGAAGCCTAGTCAGCTCGGCTTTCGACCAGCTTCAGTTGAGTTGCGGCGCTCAGATGGAGCAGACTTGGCGGAAGTGAAAAAGCGGGCACATATAGGCCGATCCCATCCGACTCGATTCGATCTTAACCGTTTCCAACCGGCGGTGGAGAACGCAGACGCGAACGCTGCGAAATTATTACCGCTGCGCATGCGCAGACAGGCCGTACTTGTTGTTGCGCTGACTGGGCTTAATTACTGACGCCCCCGCCCCCTAGCCAACGATCTTAGTTGTTTGTCTGCATTTTTCATCGACGGAGAGTGTGTGAGTGTGTGTGTGCTAGTGAGTGTTAGAGGCCATCTCTCTGGGAAAACATTCTTCCCGAGCGGAGCTTTCTTTTTGTGTATAACACAAGAGAACTAGGCAAAAACCAAACGTAAACAAGGCATCGCCAACTTGTGCAATCCAGCAATCGAGCGACAAAAACAAAAGAGCCGCGAAGTGGTTCCCAAGCCACAAACAAAAGTTGAAGTGCAATTTACAAGCCCAAAACAAAAAGAAAATGTAAGCCAAAAGTATAAATCAAGAAATATAATGAAACAGGTTACGAGAAGAGAAAAAAAACGAGATGTGTGATTAACATATTTCCCATCAAAGCGTTTACACGCAATGCGAGATGTATCTGTGTCCGTAACCCGTGTATCTGCACCTGTATCTGTATCCGTATCGTGGTATCTGTGAAACAAGAAGTGGATCCAATCGAAACCCATCCCATCCCATCCCATACTCAACCCATTCCATGTGGCAATGCAACCTTGAAGCTGTCCACCATATCGAATCGCACATCGCCTATGCATTTCAATGAGCAAAAGAGCGTTTTCGGGGAGATTTTGAAACCTGGAGTCGTTTTTATTTTCGTTTTATGGACACAATAAATTTACATACGTTAACTTGCTTGTTTGTCTTGCTGTGGATATCTCCGATCTTTCGGCAAACAGGGGCGAAACAGACTGGCCAAATAGCTTCCATGATTGCCCATGGACCGCAGAGTAAATAGCACAAATAACGCCAAAGCCAAAAATAATGCAAATAGAAATACGGCCAGACGTAAAGGTATTTCGTGTTGTTTTACTTTGTTTTGTTTTCTTTTTTGTTGTCAGTGCGCATTAAAAAGCAAACAGTAACCAATGAACATGGCCAGCAAGTAGCAGCAACAACCACCGACCGTACTGCCAATAACGGTACAGCTAATGCTGCGAGAGTGAGAACCAAGAATCCAGGTCCCAAGTGCCAGAGCCACAAAAGATCATGGCTCAACGAATCGCTCATGCGCTGCCGAAGGCGATTTATATAATAGACTTACAGTCGAAACTTCTCTGAAACTAAAATTCAGATTTCTGAGAGCAAATTACTATATATCATTGATTAGAGATCCGAATTAATACTTACATTTATAGATAAACGTCTTAAACAAAAGTCAATAAGTAAAAGAGAAAGATGCCCTAAAAACATCTTTCTTTTGATGATGTTTCCAGCTAATACATTCATAATATTTACATATTTTAAAGAGATGCGAATATATCTTTTATGTAAAAAGGTTTGCTTACAGAAGTGCCACTCAATGTTTCAATAATTATCGCTTACTTATGAAGCATGAAATTGAATTTTGCTAATATAACTACAGCTAGCCTTGAGATTTACAGAATTCCATTCATGCGTTAGAGAATTTTTAGAGTTATATTTAGCACATAGCTGCCATGAAACCAACCAGAAGTGATACCCACAAAACAGAGACTTGATTAACACCTCCGATAGTTAGAATGATGAATAAGACGACTAGAATTGCCTTTAATAAGTCAGCATTACCAAAATTACTCATACCACCTGTAGCCAGCCTCACTCGCTGCTCTTTGTTGGCCAGCTCTCTTGATTATAGCCTTCATTCTTTCAATCAGACCTTGGTGTCGACCATTGTTGTTGGCCGCAAATATGTGGCTTATACCGAAATAGACAGAGACATCGGTATGCAAATCAAATGTTCTGAGCGAACGCGGCGATAATGGGGAAATGACCAAATACGATACGGGATATGGAAGTTGGCCAGCTAGTCAGCTAGCCAGCAGCAGAGCAGATCTCTTCTCGAAACGAGTTTCACCCAGCAAGACCAAAACCGATCGGGCCAGAAACCCAATAATAATAATGCCATTCCTCAATTGCAGCGAAATGGCGGCGTGGAAACAGCTGCCAAACGGGGGGCGTTTTCTACTGGTCCTCCTGATCTGCATCTCCCACTCGGCCCACCAGATCCGCGCCTGGCGCCCCTGTCCAGAGCTCAGTCCCGCCCTCCGACTGCCATGCAGGTGAGTACCATTTACCATACCAATACAATGCATTCGACTGGTGACCACCAGGTAGACACGGCCATAGCAAAAGCGACAGCGAATTTCCGCTGTCGGTCGGGTATTATTTTAATATCACAAAATTACCGCCAACTGCAATTTCATTTGGCTTTGTTTTTTCTGTAATCACCGACTGGCGACAATTACAGGTGCAATGTGGTTCCGTTTGCGGCGACTGGTCAACTCGGAGCCGTGGCCATGGACTGCGATCGCGTTGTCTTCCACGGCGATGCCCCCCAACTGCCTTATGGAGCGCCCATCGTGGCGTATACGCAACGTCACAGCGGCCAACAGGTGCTGCCCGCCCAGGTGAGTGTCGCAATATGCCAAAGATAAACCACACACGGGTCATGGGATTTCGACACTTTTCGATGATCTCACAGGCACAATAAATGCTTGGAAATGGAGGTCAATCATATCCAATTTCTTATTGATTTGACAGTCTTTGATCGGTCTAATCTTCTTAGTAGAAAGATTCTTAGTAGTTTTTATTACTTAATAATATATATTTGCTATTTAAGTTTCTTTAGTAAACAATAATATATGATTACCCTCTCAAACAAGACTTTTGGCCAACTAAAACTGACCATAGAGGAGCTGGATCTGTCTTACAATCTCATTCGAAGAATCCCTGAGAAGGCATTCGATGGTCTCAAGGATTCACTGAACGAACTGCGCCTGGCTAATAATTTATTGGGCGACAATCTGAATCCCATCTTCTCCACCGCCGAACTGCATGTGCTGAAGAACCTGAGGATCTTGGATTTGTCCGGAAACAAAATAAAGCTGATCGAGGAGGGCCTGCTCAAGGGCTGTGTGGACCTGAAGGAGTTCTACATCGATCGCAACAGCTTGACGGCAGTGCCCACCAACTCTCTAAACGGACCAAGTGCCCTGAGACACCTTTCGCTGCGCCAGAACCAGATTGGTAAGACAGATTAGTACATTTAATGCATGGTTTAAGCTGGGTGTGCAATCAGCACCGTAACTGGTATAATTAACTTTAGAATCACAAGAAACCAATTATTTTTCATTCGACAAATTTGATTATACACGACCTTGAAGTACCGCCAACAATTAACACTTTACTTCACTGTAATTAATTCCATAATAAATCAAGACTTTAAAGTTGTATTATCCCAAAATTTTGCTATTTTAATCGCCGATCATCGTTTGAATTAAACCAATGCCATTTCTTCTCTGCAGGATTTCTCCCTCCGGACTCATTCAACGCCCAGCGTCAGTTGGAGATCATCGATCTCCGCCACAATCTCATCCGCAACATCGACAGCCGCGCCTTCAGGGGTCTGCAGAAGGTCCGGGAAATCAAGCTGGCTGGAAATCGTATCAGTAACCTCAACAGCGATGTTTTTGAGAAGCTGCAATCCCTGCAGAAATTGGATCTGTCCGAGAACTTCTTCAGCCAGTTTCCCACGGTGGCCCTGGCAGCAGTTCCTGGAGTTAAGCACCTAAATCTGTCCTCAAACATGTTACAGGTATATTCGATAAACTTCTTGAAATATGGACAATGCCTTATTGCTTTGTATTAAACCAATATTATTTCGTTAGCAACTGGACTACACCCACATGCAGGTGGTTAGGGCTTTAGAAAGTCTCGACATCAGTCGGAATACCATAACCAGCATTACACCAGGAACTTTCCGGGAGATGGGTGCTCTAAAGTATCTGGACCTGAGCTTAAACTCTTTGAGAACGGTAAGTAGTCAGTTAAGAAATTCCCGAATCTGAAACTAACTAAGCTTTTTTGGGTTCAGATTGAGGACGATGCCTTGGAGGGATTGGACAGCCTGCAGACCCTCATAATCAGGGACAACAATATCCTCTTGGTGCCCGGTACTGCCCTTGGTCGCCTACCCCAGCTGACAACCCTCCAGTTGGATTACAATCGAGTAGCCGCACTCTCTTCGGAGATCCTTGGATCCCTACAGGCTGGCGACATAACTACGCTGTCACTATCGAGGAATGTCATTCGGGAACTGCCCCCCGGCAGCTTCCAGATGTTTAGCAGTCTGCATACCTTGGATCTCTCTGGGAATTCCCTGGCTTTAATTAATGCTGATACCTTTGCGGGATTGGAGAGCACTTTAATGGCCCTCAAGCTATCGCAGAACAGGCTAACGGGACTAGGAGTAGCTCCCTGGGTTTTGCCTGAGCTAAGAAGTCTAGACCTGAGTGGCAATACGCTGACAGAGTTACCCAGTAACATATTCGAGGAGTTAGAGAACCTGCAATCCCTTAATTTGAGTGGCAATCACCTGACCCCCCTCACTGGAGCTCTCTTGAAGCCTCTGGACCGCCTGCAGGTCATCGACCTAAGTCGCTGTAATATTCGAGAGATAAGCGGAGATCTCTTAGCTGGATTGCAGGACCTCAAGCACATTTATCTGAATGATAATCACCTACAGGAACTGCAGGATGGTAGCTTCGTCAATCTGTGGAACATCAGCTCCATAGATCTGTCAAACAATCGCATTACATCCATACGTTCCGGAGCCTTTGTGAATGTGATGAAGCTGCAGAGGTTGAATCTACATGGGAATCAGTTGTCCGCCTTTAAGGGAGAGTACTTCAATACGGGCACAGGAATAGAGGAGTTGGATATTTCCGACAACCAGTTGAGCTATCTGTTTCCATCTTCCTTTAGAATTCACCCCAGATTGCGGGAAATTCGAGCTGCCAACAATAAGTTTTCCTTCTTTCCGGCGGAACTTATTTCCTCCCTGCAATATCTAGAGCACATCGATCTGTCCCATAACCAGTTGAAGACCATCGAGGAGCTGGACTTTGCCCGCCTGCCACGCCTTCGCGTTCTACTCGTTTCCAACAACCAACTGGACATGGTCAGCGAGATGGCCTTCCACAACTCCACGCAACTACAGATTTTGGATCTGGCCTATAATAACTTGGATCGCATCGGAGAGCGAACTTTTGAGGGCTTGGTGCGACTGGAGCAGCTCAATCTTGAGGGTAACCGGTTGTCGGAGCTTTCGGATGGTGTCTTCGAGCGCTCAAAGCTACAGATGCTGGAGAACATAAACCTCGGCCACAATCGTTTCGAATATGCACCTTTGAATGCCTTGCAAAGACAGTTCTTCTTTGTATCTTCCGTGGATTTGAGTCATAACAAAATCAAGGAGCTACCTGGAGATGATAGCATTATGGTGAACATCAAAAGGATCGATCTTTCCTTCAATCCACTTAGTCCCAAAGCAGTTCACAATGTTCTGAACGAACCCAAAACCGTCAGGGAACTCAGTTTGGCGGGTACGGGTATCGAAAAACTGGAACTACTGGAAACTCCGTTCCTCCAGTTCCTGAATCTCTCCCACAATAAGCTTAAAAATGTTAAGCCAGAGGTCTTTCAAAGAGTGACGCTTCTGGAAACTTTAGACCTTTCCAGCAATGAGTTGGAGTCCCTTGACGATCTTTCCATGGCATGGCCTCAGCTACAGGTACTCCAGTCCTTGGATCTATCGAATAACAGCTTTGAAATCATCTCGCAGTCCAACTTTGGTAAACTGGAGATGCTGCGCTCCTTGCGATTGAGCCACCTGCCACTGTGCACCAGAATCGAGAAGAACGCCTTTAAGCAGCTCCCCAATCTGGTCAATTTGGAAGCCTATGACCTTCCCCTACTTGGCTATCTGGATTTGCAGGGTATCCTGGAACTTGTACCGGGTCTGGAAGTTCTGGATATTGAAGTAAAGGACTCCAGCATTGGAAGCGAACAGATTCAACCGCTCAAGCATCCGCGCCTTAGAAGCTTGGGAATCAGAGGAGAACGATTGAAGTCCATATCATCAGGTACTTTGGCGGGTCTGAAGAGTACAGACTTGACAGTCCAGCTGAGGAACACCTCTCTGAGTGCCCTGCCCCCAGCTTTACTATTTCCGGTGCCGAGATCCTCCCATCTCAACCTGAATGTCGAGGGATCCAAGATCACAGTGCTGGTGCCGCAGTTCCTGAACGCTCTGGAAGATCGCAGAGCTAGTCTGCAGCTGCAGGGATTGGCCAGCAATCCCATAGTCTGCGATTGCAATGCTCGAGCTCTCCGACGATGGCTTCCCAGTTCCGGTATGCCGGATGTCACCTGTGCATCGCCTGCCTACCTGGTCAACCGAAAACTTATTGAAGTCGGCGATGATGAACTCACCTGTGATGCGAGACGAATGACATCCTCCACCTCCAGACCCACCGCTCCAGTGCCCCATCTTCTGAAGACCTCTAGCCAATTGGTGACAAGGAGCAGCTCCACCACGGAAGAACCCCTGATCATCTGGAGCCTGGAACCAACACAGCCTCCCAGCCTGAAGAAGATTAAGACCAAGGCTCCACTGATGAAGGCCCAGTCGCCCATTATCAGTAATGACGATACCCTAATAATAGGAATCGTTGGAGGAGTGGTGGCGTTCATAGCCATACTCATCATCATCATTTGCATCATAAGGCTGCGTATGAGCAATGCGGAGTACCAGCAAAACGCGGCGATGATAGGAATCCCAGCTGGCATGCAAATGGGTGCCCACAATGCGGCTTACAACTACAAAAATGGAGCGGGAGCAGCTCTATATGCGGTGCCTCCTTACCAAGCTAGCTATGCTACCCTGCCTCACAAGGCAGCCTCCATCCATCAGTCCAGCCAGAATCTCTCCCAGCGCCAGCAGCAGCAGCAACAACAGCAGCAACAGGCGGCTGCGGCGGCGGCGGCCTACTCGACCATGTCCCGCATGTCGTACTTTAGCGGCGCGGGCGGAGGAGCAGGCGGAAATGGCGACGGAGCCGAAAGCCTCACGCATCAGCATCCGCACCAGCATCAGCCCTATATCATCTACTCGGATGACAAGGCCTACAGATAAGCCAGCCGATCGCAGCGGCATCTTCATCTTTCCCACTCCTACATTCTGTCCATTTCAATCTCAGTCAGTCAGTCAGGCACATCGCCGCAAACAGGTTCTACATTATATCGCCGCTCTCAGCCAACGTTGTATATAGACTTTAAAACATTCTAACTGTAACCCTAACTGTATCTATGTCTAACCATAATTAAGTGCAAGCAAATCGCTTATGCGGAATAAACAAATCTAGAATAATACACATGATAAGTCTATTTGCGGGGGCGGGAATACCACATTTTATTTACCCAGCTGCCTAACAAATGGCCAAATAGTCAAGTCAAACATGGAAGTTTAACATGACTCTGAATTACTTACCAACCCAAAAAGTTTGTTTGCTATACGGCAATCTTTAAATGGTTCAGATATTCACCTTGAATAACTTTTAAAAGTAAGAATACAAATTGATTACCATCATATCAACGTTATCATTGCCTTCCGTGATTTGTATATTGACTACCTCCGAGAAAAAACAATTTATTACCTTATCTTTACTTGAATTCACTATTGAGATATTTTTCAACTCATATCGCAATATTAAAGACTTCTTTTAGAACCACGAACTGTACAAGTAAGAAGCTTGTTATCTGAACTACCGTATATATGGCTTATTAGAATCCGATAAAAATTAATCAGCATACAACAGAGATTTCTGATTTGAGCGTTTTTAATACAATAAAATTATCTTTCAAGATAATTTCACAAAAATGTATATGTGTATAAATATGTTATGTGTATATATGTATGCAACTTCAAGATCGCTTTTCACAGTCTTCGTATTTCAAATTTTTCACTGAATAACAACAAAACCAGTTATCACTCCATTTAAATGCTTACAATGCAAATGCACAAATCGAATTAACAAAATTAATTAAAACAGACTTTGTGTGAAATTCACGTTTTAACTAATTAGTAACTATGATCAACAATAACTGTCTTTTGGGACTAGCTCTCCCACTGAAAAAGAATATACATTTTTCCAATTAAAACATAGTATTTTGGCAATTAGAGAGCGGGCCAGGCTTTGAGTTCCGATTTAAGTTGTGCCTTCCATTGTGTGACGTAGATATCCAGCTAAGCCATTTGGGAGTACGAGGTATACAGCTTGTAGTTGCGACGTCGGTAATAGATCATGAGGCCATAGCTGACAAGCAGCAGCGCGATTACGATTAAAATAAGAATGCCTGATAGAATTAAGATAATGCTTTAATTCCATAAAAAGCACAAATCGCTATAGACTCACCCGTCGCAGTGCCCAGGTTGGCCTCCTCATAAGTCATCATCATTGTAGTGCGCTTGCACTCACGTTCCCAATCTACTGGCAGGACATCTTGGTAAAGGCTGACAAGTTTCTTCAGAGGGCAGGAAGGACCACAACCAGGTATATCCAGAGGCAGGGGTTCAGCTGTAGTGTTCTTGTAGAAAATGGACACCAGTGGCGTCTTACTCTCATCCAGGCGCATCTCCAGCAAAATGCACGCCGTATAGGGAGGACTATGCAACTGAGAAACCAGAAAATACAGCATTAAATGGAATAACAATATAATCTATGTAATTTTTTACCTCAAACAATTTAAGAGCATTCAAAACATTGGCAACAGTGGTATCATGAGCACTATAGACCCACATTGAACGATCTGGGCTTAGGTGACCGGAGGATTTCTCACTAAATCTCTGGAATATGTCTTTCAACAGAGGACCCGCTTTAAATCGCGCCAGCTTTCTTGTGTAAGAACTGATGGAAAAGGCGAAATTGGATATATACGTCAACTCCTCTCCGCCGTAAACTTTTTGAGTCCATTTCGGCAGTGTCATGTTGTACAGATTTTCAATGAACAAGGTGTTATTCAAATACTGCGCATCTACGAAACTCTTAACAGGGCGTCCACCATTTTCGCTCAAGTATGCAAAGAGAGCTTGATGTTTCTTGGTCATAGCCTTGAACTCTGGAGAAGATTCCAAGGAGGACAGCTCGTAGTCATATGCAGGACATGGAGCCTTGGCTGCCAGTATGGGATCCACATTCTCGGGAATGGTGTGAATCGGTATTGGCTGCCATTTAATGTCCGAGTTCCAGATGTCTTCACCTTGAGGTTCGTAAAGACCAGCGAGATTGGATTGGGCACTCATGAGGGTGCGATCTACGTCGGTGGATTGTATGTAGATATCGTCGTTGGAATACTGAGCGGGAAGGAGGGTTGAATACCGTCTCCTCAACCATTTTCCAAGGTCATAGTGCTCTTGCTTGCCAAGCTGTGGGGTTAAAATTTGGGTTAACATAGGTCAGTTCTTTCTAAAAGCTCAAGTCCTTACATTGGTCAACTGTCCCCAGCCTGTGGACCAGAACTTCCTGTCGCCCCAGGGATCGGTGGGATACGGGTCTACTGGCGTTCTGTCGCCGTGGCGATATATCTGCAAAACATAACCGATAAAACGGGGCTTCCACACACAAAGACAAGCGAAACTCTTACCACATGCACAAACTTCAGTTGGCCTGGTAATGTGGCCAAGCTGTCTGGCTGCTGACCTTCGGTATTAGCATAGCCATGGAGCGCATTTGCCAAACTAAAACACAGCACACAAATAACAGAAATCCAGATAAGGCAGCGCTGGCGGAGGAGATTCCACATTTTAAGGGCCAAACTGGTTACAAATGACCCACAGCGGCTATAGGAAAACATATGTGAGCATGCGGATGCGGACAAGTTACGGTTACGGTTATATCGGGGTCTATTCCCTTACCTCTACCGTATAACTGGCGATCTGGTCGTTCGTCGTTTGCATATATACACCTGGCAATCTGAAGTTCACCGAATTTCAGATTTTGTTTATAATATTTTGGGGACAGGTTTGATAACCACACAAAGCTTAGTTCCCCCGATAACGATATGTTGTCCCAAGCAGCACTGAACAGTAACTGTAAGTTCATGGCGCGCAGTTTGAAATCAAAAGTCAAAATGGTGTTTATGATTGTATTGATTGACTCGTATCTAGTTGCACACAAGTAATATGATTATTTAAGTATTGCATAAATATCGAAACGAACTTATCTACGAATAACAAATATACTGTTGATGTTGGTCTTAAAATTACACGGCTAAGGGACAAATAAAAAAAGTCATCGTTTGCTTAACTAAAAGATTCTGCGCGGAAAAAAATGGAAAACAAAATTCGGCTATTACATTATTAATTGGAGTACACGAGGACTGGCAAAAATCGTTGTGGCGTTGCACTTGCTTAAAATCGTCTATTACCGCCCATATTCGGTCCGGGTCTGGGCCCGCTGAAACTAAAACATGATTATATTACAGTAATGGAGATTATATTATGAGGATGTGACTTAACCCACCGGTTTCTTTGGCCTGGCGCTCCGCCTCCGCTACCCAAAGGCGGAAACTCTGAGTGATATGCATTCATGCCATTCTGATTGTGATTTTTACCTCCTGCTCCTCCGCGTTTGTTTGGGCCTCCGCCTCCTTGTTGGTTGTTGGAATCGTGGCTGCCTCCGCGTCTGGCACTAAATCCTCCGCCTCCGTTAAAGAAGGCTCGTCCTGGTGGATTTCCTCTGATAGAGAAAAATAATCTATATATTATCAATATATAACACATTTTTATAGACAACTTACCCGTTTCCAAAACGCCCAAAGCCAATTTGCTGCTGTTGATGCTCTACAGGTAGGGCAAAGCCACGGCGATCCTGCCGCACATTGCCGCCTCCTGTACCTCCGCCGCCGCCTCTCTGGTTTAAGGTTCCGGCTCTGCCACCAGAGCTTCCTCCATGGAAGTCATTATTACTGCCTCCGCCACCAAAACCACTGGTTGGACTGTTTCTAAAGTTTCTCCTCCCTGCATGTGATCCATTGTTGTCCCTTTGTTGAAACCGATTGTTGCCAAAGCGTCCTCCGTTACCCTCGTTTCCGCCGTATTTGCCTCCGGCTGCAAATCTGTTTCTATATCCCTGGCCATGGTTGGAGGATTCATTGTTCTGCGGTGGTCCTTTGGAGTAAGGAGCACTGCGCTGTTGTCTGTAATCAGACTCATTCCGGACGGGTCCAAATTTACTGCCTGTGGAACCCCTTGGATCACCGCCTTCGTTGGAATATCTCCCACCAGTTTCGCGAAAATTTCTCTTGAAGTTATTGCCAGATTCCGGAGGTCTTTTGTCCGAAGAGCCACTTTGACCTAGGTGAGTGATATTAAAGTTTTAGATGATGATGAATATATCAAATCCATAATAGCTAACCCTCTGAGGGCCTGCGACCTGAATTGTCACCAGAACCCGGAGGTCCACGACTACCATTTCCAGGGCCGTACTTGGGCCTGCCTGCCTCAACCACGATTGACTGACCCTTGAAGACTGTGCCGTTTAGGGCGGCGATAGCCGCATCTGCCATGTCCGAGTTCTCCAGGTGGACGAAGGCGCAGCGGTTCATCACGTCGCATTCCACAACCGATCCGTAGTTGGAGAATAGTCGACGCAGTTCGTCAGGCTTGCAGCGCGGCAGGCTGCCGACGAACACCTTGGCGGTCTGCATGGATAAAGCTAGCATTACTCCGGATTACTTTAGACAATCCGGTGTCAGCTGCATCTTCAACGCTTACGTACAGTAGACATGTATTTATTTTTCTCTATAATTTTCCCAATTTTTTTTTAATAAATTGGAGATGGGCATCTAGCACCTGACCGGTAGTGTGACCAGATGATAGAACTTCTAAGCATTTTTTTTTTTGTTATCGATAAGTTCAAGCAATTGCTTTTGTTGACAATTCAAATATTTAAAAAATTAAGGTTTCTCTCCCGCCTGAATTCAGATGTGGCCTATTGGGGGCGAGCATAACTACTCTGCCAGCATGGACTACGGGAAGAACGTGGTGAACATCTTTCCCAGCGTGGAGATGATGGTTGTCTTCAATGGCGATGTGACGCGGTCCAATAAGCGGGCTTGTTTACTGTACGCGGAGAAAATGGATTTCAAGGAGCTGCTAGTGAGTCCATATTGCACAAATCTTTTGCGGTATTTTATAAAACGATTACCTTGCAGCAACTCCGTTTGGCTGAAAAATCCGATCAGCGGCGGATGTACATCACCACCGTAGATAGCGCCTCATTTCAGGATCTCAAACAGGATCAATCTCTAAATGTTACATTTTCGGGTTTCATGGATAATGTTGTACGCATGCTGAAGGACTGCCAATCGGGAAAACTGGAGCTGCATCTGTCTGAAAGGGATCCAAACCTCTCCTCTGGCAGAGAAGGTCACGACTTCCACCTGCAGTTTGTGGAAATACGCTCCTTTAAAAACCTGGTGCACCTAAGCCTGCCCTGTCGTTCTGCTCCCTTGAACACAGTACTATTTTATATAAACATCATGCTAGATGCCTCCTACAAGAAGCAATTCACTATGGAGCAGAGTATTCAACAAATGCAGGTGGAAATCAACTCACAACGTTCTCACACGGAGAGATTGAGCACCGAAAACAACACTCTCAGAGATGCTTTGGCTGAAAATACTCGCATTTTAGAGGAAAAGCATGCAGCAGAGATCCAGCAATACCAGGAAAAGCTAGCCAAGGTAAACGAGCAGCGCAGCAATGAGTTAGACAGAAATCGTAGAGCGATCTCTGGCATCCAAGCCCAACTGGAAAAGATTTCCCTGGAAAAAGCTGACTTGAAATCAGGCCAAGAGCTAACTGAGAAGCGATGTCAAAGCTTAGCAGACGAGTTATCCTGCTGCAAGACTCGGGTATGCACTTTAAAAGAGCAAAACGACAAACTGCACACAGATATAGCCAATGCTAGAAAACAGGAGCGAAAGTTGGAGTACAAGATCGAGGACCTTAAACAGCACACTGCCGAGCTGCAGGAAAATATACAAAAGGGGAATAAGGAAAAGGTACGTAAATTGGGAAAAATACACATCAGAGGTCTATAACGTGCAACTTTCGTAGGCCAACATATCCGCTGAACTGGAGGCTGAAAAGAAGATCTTGCACACGAAGCGCCAAGCTTTAGAAATGGCCTCTGAGGAAATCTCCAAGGCCAATCAGATAATCCTCAAGCAGAGCCAGGAATTGCTGAATCACAAGAAAACCATTGCCTGGCGCACTGAAGTGGCTTTGCAACAAGAGAAGGCCGTACAGGCAAAGGAGAGAATGTTATCACTGCGTGAGGATGAACTTCGTGAGGCACGTGTAACCATCGAAAAACTGCGGGAGGAAATCCCTTTGCAACTGCAATCTATGCGTAACTTTGCTGAGGCACTAGAGCAAAAGTATTCCAAGCGTAAGTAATGTGTATGGCTTATGTTTTAGGTTCTCCCACTTATAAATGAATTATTGCAGAGATCCTCATCCTAAAAGATCGCTTATCAATACCCTCTGGCAAGGAAAATCGGCGATAATCATACCTATTGTTAATGCATTTATCGTTTTTTGTACAAGTTTAGTAAAGTTAGTTGTATTGTTCGACTCTAGTCATAATCCTCCTGGACACTTTCACCTGCATGCGCAGTGGCTACATTTACCGCCTGACTGATATCTTCGATTTGGTTCAGTTTAAGCCGCTCTCGGATAAGTTCCGCAATTGCCTTTTGGGTGCGTCGTTCGAGTCGCTCCAATTTCTTGCTTGCATCTCGTTTAAGATCCCAATCGGGTTTACGAGGTGCTAGATTGGTTATATCGATCTCATCAATGACCATGGGCTGCTGGAGAAGACTCAGTTGGTCCTCCACTGCAGTTTCAATGTTTCCCGTGGGCTCCTGGGGCAGAACTTCGCCGTCAGTGTTCTCGTTCTGCGGTTTGTAGCTGCGAAAAATAGGCCTAACGATGGAAATGTAAAGTTTTATGAATGGTTACGATTTAATCTCAGTATTACATACTTGGGTAACTTTTCATTGGATTCGGTAGCGTCTCCTCCTTTACTCTGCGCTTGTTCACGAAGTTTTTGAAGCCGCTCCTTGCGTTTCAGAGATTCTGCCGTCAGCTTGCCCACTCCATTGTTATCCATAACGCCCATTTGCCTTTTTGGGATCACAATAAAATGTAATTATATTTAAACAGAAGGTTTCCGCGTTTATTTATTATTGTTTTGATAGTTGTTTCTCCCGGATAATATCGATAATTATCGAGTTCGTCACTAGTATACAATTTAAGGGTATAGCAGAGTTTTTATTCTGAAAAATGTTTATAAATAATTTGTTGTTAAGTTTTGTTTTAATTTTAAAATAATTTAATTCTTAAAACATTATTTTTGATTTATGCCAGCGGTAACAACTTGTGATTATAATAAATTGGAATAATTTATAAAAATCTTTGAGAAAATCGTAAGTGACGAATTTTTACTCAACAGTTGATGACGAGAGTATGCGGCCTTATTAAAACACGTTTATCTATCGATTAATCGATACTGCTGAAGATGGATACATAGCGTTGTCTTTACACCACAGGGGGAGGGGAGGAAATCTGCTGTACTTTTGTGCGATTTAAACAAACAAAGTAGGCATTATAAGCAATACAGCTGGACTCGGCATCTCTGCAGCATCTATTCGCATCCGTTCCATCCCGATGCTGACAATCCGGGCCAGCCAATAAACGGAGAGGCGACGGCTGTGCTCCCCCAACTGCTGATTTGGAGTAGCAAAAATAAACCAGAGCACAGCTCCCGCGCCCGAACAAACAAACGATTCCGATCCGCTTCGAGGTAACTTCTGTGGTCTATTAATATTAGTGGCCGGCTAACAAGTGCGAGTCGGTTTCCGTTCCCTTTGCCTTTGGTCGACAGAAAGGGAGCATCACTTCAGCATCCCATTGTTCTGAAAACGATACGAGATTGCCCGGCCAGATCCGACTCAGCTATCTAAAAATGGAGTGGACGCGCGAGAAAACGCTGCAGCTGATCACTGAGTACCGAGGCCGTCGCGGACTGTGGGATATGACTTGCGACGATTATCGGAAAAAGGACGTCAAACAGCGGCTCTTGAACGAAGTAAGCCAGGTGCTGGGCGGGAACATCCCGATCAACGAGCTGGAGAAAAAGTTCCACACGCTGCGTACGCAGTATCACCGCGAGATTAGTCGCATGAAACGAAAGGAGCCCTACAATTCAAAGTGGTTTGGCTTTAAGAACCTGGTGTTCCTCAGCTCGCCCTACGCCTGCCGCTCCACCAAAGGTCGGCTGAAGACAGAGCTGCAAGGCGACGAGCGCAAATTTACCCTGGGCGAGGTCACCGCGGATCACAATAGCGACAGCAGCACCCCAGCAAACCACAACAGCAATACAAACGCCAACATGAACGAGGAGTACCTACGAAAGAGTCACGCCAGCAGTCGGGCCCAGGAGTTGGAGAAACTCATCGAAGAAACAACTAAAGACGTCGACGACATCGATGAGCCAGAGATGGAGGATGGAGAGGTAAAGCCCAAGCAGGGCAAGGATATGGGCATGCGCTATGTTAGCCTTAGTGAGCAGGATGAGACTGACCCACTGGAGAATCATCATCAAACGCTGATAGATCTTCATCATCAGGGCAACGCAGTGGAGGCCGTAAGCTTCCAGGCCAACGAGAGTGGCGAACTGCACTACCAGTCTACTCCATCCCAGAACACAAGCAACAACTCGGTACACGTTATGCCCACGCGAATCATCAAGATACAGAGGCGGGACACGTCTGGCGGTCAGGATGAAAGCTACTTTGAAGATCACACGCAATTGCATCCGCCTCCGGTCAAACGTATGTACTATGAAGCCAGTCCAGCATCGCACAACACCACCGCTATTTTGTCCCCTGCACTAGAAACCAATGCAAATGGCACAACCAGCAATATACTGACCACCACGTCAGGTATAACCGTGAGCAATCTGCGTCTGCCAAAGGTGAACACGCCGCCCAAGCCAACGCAAGCCCAAACTATCCCCAGTCCGCCTCCGCCCACCATTGTCAGCCTTCCGCCGGCGCGCGATGAGTTCGCCACGTACGGAGAGTATGTGGCGAACGAGATGCGTGCCATCACCAATCGGGAGGTGCTCGTCTCCCTCAAGCACCGAATAAACACGGCCATCTTCGAGGCCAACATGGCCGAAATATCCCCGAAATAGATTGATCGTTTTAGCTAGAGCTATTAACTACAACTTTAGGTTTAAGGCCTCTTGTCTTTGTGCTTTTTATAGGTCGTGTCCCCCGTCACTTGTATTCTCATTTGAATTTGTACATTTAAAATACATGTATGTAATGATTTAAATACTTAAGCCAAATATAAAATTTAGTGGAATTACAAAAATATGTACACTCCGTCAGCAGGCCTGCATCAGTTTGTTTTGATTTCGGTTAAAAAATTGTTGATTTTATTTTTATTGGCATTCATGATGCAGAATCCCATTTGCGAACCGTTCACAAGTTGGCCAGCAAAATTCGATATAAACCAGCTAATCAAAGAGTTCCAGCCGGAGGAAAAGGGGCGTGAGGTGGACCAGGATAAGTCGCCTCGGGATTTCTTACATCTTCCTGACAACAATTGGGTGGTCCTCCCTAGGTTTACCTACCAGTTTGAGCATTTGACACCATATATCTCTTGTCGCCAAAGCAAGTACTTGCGGTGTCGTTTTCAAAGGTTTTTGAATAATGTTCCTTGCAACTACGTAACCATCCGCTTATATGGCTCCAATGTCAGCAAGTACGTTTCTAAACGTTATATTTTTTGTCCATTTTTATTGGGCTTTTGTTATGCTATGTTAAAAAAATGGACCACTCACATAATATTTGTATTTCAGCATGCCAACGCCAAGACGAAAGAGTCTGAATGGTCAGTTTTACGGCGTAGATAACAAACTTGCTCCTGTTCCCGCCGTCGCAGACCCTCGATCTCCTCCCCACCGTAAATAATAGTATTTATTACGTAAATTTGAAACTAAAATTTAAGATCATCAGCTAAAATTGGTATTTAAATGACATTATTTTTTTATTATTAATTATAAATCCGTGGTGAGGCAAATAAAATAAAGTATTTAACTTCAATTGTTTTTTTGTTTTGTTATATTATATATCTTGGAAACCACATTTTAAATTCAGAGGTAGCATTGCCATAAAGACAAAGAATTACTAATCATTTTTTAAAAGTAACAGAAAAGGGGATTGCCGCGAAAGCAAATATTGCCAGATTGTCGTATTTTGGAAGGACCTCTTGTTCCCGTTATTTTGTAAAGTGGTATGTTCGCAGACGGTAACACTGCTAACGGTAAAAATCGATAATGCAGAAATAGCGGGCGAAGAAAATGTTTACAAAATGCATTAGTTTCTGTGGTCTTGCTTTTATCTCCGTTTTCTTCACCTGCCTTATAGTCGAGAACTGCGGTGAGCACGAGAATAATCCAAGAAAATAAAGAATTTAAAATATAATGCTTATTCCTGGCTTACAGTGGCCCTACAAAAGACGCTGCGCCACTACGAGATATTTCACAAGGACGATGTGGTGCATAGGGTGGTCAAAAGGGGTGCTAAGCACAGCACGAATCCCTTTAACATTATCAAGGAGGTAGAATTTACTACGCTAGGAAAGAACTTCCGGCTTATTTTGCATCCACATAGGGATGTTCTGCATAGTAAATTCAGGGCTTATGCGGTGGATGCGGATGGAAATGAAACGGTGGTGCATATGGGTAAGATTAGTGTCCTGTACTCCATGGTTTATTTATAAATAATTTCTCTACTTAGATCACGATAGCTTCTACTCGGGTAGAGTGTTTGGCGAGTTGGAGTCCTCCGTGCGGGCTCATATCGAAGACGGTACTATGACCATGTCCATCCATTTGCCAGAGGAAACCTATCACATCGAGCCCTCCTGGCGGCATCTTCCCGAAGCCAAGAAGGACACTATGGTGGCCTACAAGGCCTCGGATGTAAAGGTGCATAAAAACGAGGAAGGTGCAAGCCCAAAAACCTGTGGTTATATCAAGGAGGGACTTGAATTGGAGGACAAGGAGCAAGGGGATACCCTGGATAATGAGCTGCATACAAGGGAGAAGCGTCAGTCCGATCAATATGAATACACGCCCACCAAGACCCGATGTCCTTTGCTCCTAGTGGCAGATTATCGATTCTTTCAAGAAATGGGCGGCGGCAATACTAAGACCACTATTAACTACTTGGTGGGTACTTAACAACAGCATTCGTAGATCTATTATGAACCTTTATTCTTCAGATAAGCCTTATAGACCGGGTGCATAAGATCTACAACGACACTGTATGGCAGGATCGATCGGATCAGGAGGGATTTAAGGGAATGGGCTTCGTCATCAAGAAGATTGTGGTGCACTCAGAACCTACGAGATTGCGAGGCGGCGAAGCTCACTACAACATGATCCGGGAGAAGTGGGATGTGCGCAATCTCCTGGAGGTGAGTTGACTTAATCATTGCATCCCACTATTCGTGTAGCTGCTCTTCCTCATGGCCATATAACTCTTGTATCTCTCACTCTAACTTCGACTGCTCCGCGGCTCCTCCTCCGGCTAGGTCTTCTCCCGGGAGTACAGCCACAAAGATTTTTGTCTAGCCCATCTCTTTACCGATCTCAAGTTCGAAGGCGGCATTTTGGGCTTGGCTTACGTGGGCTCTCCGCGTCGCAACTCAGTGGGCGGCATTTGCACTCCAGGTTGCTAACCCCAGTAACTCTCATATTTCTCCTTTTCATTTCGCTTATAGATTTGTGTTTAGTCTTTTTTTCGTTTTTTAAGTCTTAAAGTTGCTTTTTAGAGGTGCCATGGAAATCTCTAGACTCATGCAATGCGGTCTTAAACCTCTTCAGATTTCCGTAACACCTTTAGTATATTCGTTTATTTAAAAAGATATATTTTTGCTTCTCACCTCCCAGAATACTTCAAAAATGGTTACACACTGTATTTGAACTCGGGTCTAAGTAGCTCCCGCAACCACTATGGACAGCGGGTTATTACCAGAGAGGCGGATCTGGTCACGGCCCATGAGTTTGGGCACAACTGGGGCTCCGAGCACGACCCTGACATTCCCGAGTGCTCACCCAGTGCCTCGCAAGGCGGCAGTTTCCTCATGTACACGTATTCTGTCAGTGGCTATGACGTGAATAACAAGGTATTTAGAATACAATTTTTAAAGTACCATTTATAATGATTTTCTATTTCTGGCCAGAAATTTTCTCCCTGCTCTCTTCGTTCCATCCGAAAAGTGCTCCAGGCCAAGTCGGGGAGGTGTTTCTCAGAGCCGGAAGAGTCCTTCTGCGGCAATCTGCGAGTTGAAGGCGATGAACAGTGCGATGCTGGCCTTCTGGGCACCGAGGACAATGATTCTTGCTGCGACAAAAACTGCAAGCTGCGCCGGAATCAAGGAGCCATGTGCAGCGACAAGAACTCTCCGTGCTGCCAGAACTGCCAATTTATGGCTTCCGGGATGAAGTGCCGCGAAGCTCAGTACGCCACCTGTGAGCAGGAGGCTCGTTGCACTGGCGCCCACGCCGAGTGTCCCAAGTCCCCGGCCATGGCGGATGGAACCACCTGTCAGGAGCGCGGTCAGTGCAGAAATGGCAAGTGTGTGCCGTATTGTGAAACCCAGGGTCTGCAGAGCTGCATGTGTGACATCATCGCGGATGCCTGTAAGCGTTGCTGTCGCATGAGCATAAATGAGACCTGCTTTCCGGTGGAACCACCAGATGTCCTTCCTGATGGCACACCCTGCATTACAGGATTCTGCAATAAGGTAGGCTTGGGGCACCTAAGGATTTCCTGACTCTAGTCCTAAAATCTGTTTTCCTTCAGGGTGTCTGCGAGAAGACAATACAGGATGTGGTAGAGCGGTTCTGGGACATCATAGAAGAGATAAATGTGGCCAAAACGCTGCGATTTCTCAAGGACAACATTGTCAGTAAGTACTACCCTAAACTTCAAATAATAATTATAATACCAATGATTCGAAAATAAAAATTTTTTATTCATATTTTCAGTGGCAGTTGTTCTTGTCACTGCAGTCTTTTGGATACCCATCAGTTGTGTAATTTCTTACTTTGATCGCAAGAAACTGCGCCACGAGATGAAGCTAATTGAATGGAGCCAGAAACTGGACCTTATACATCCTAGTGATGAACGGCGTCGAGTGATTCATATTCGGTAAGTTCCTAAAACTTATGTTGACATACCTAATTAAATAAGAATTAAAATTACTCTACTTTCAGAGTACCACGACAGAAAATCTCGGTTGCCCGAGCCTGTAACTAGCACAAATTACCCGGCGGGTTCCTTTTTTAAATCTTCCGAAAGTATTCTTCTCAAAACTGCCACAATTCGTTTTCATTAAGTGACATATTTGAACATACACAACACATTAATGAATAAAATTCCATATACTATAGACCAAATGCACAAATGTCAATTATAATTGAATGGTGTCTGTAAATTTGTTTCTTTACATATTTATAGTGTATAAAAAATTTCCTTGTTTAGTTTTTGTTACCTTTCTGGTGTTTTTTTTTTTTTTTTTTTCGGATCATTTAGTTAGCTTACTGGAGTGTAATGTACTTCTACTTCTTCTTATTGCTCTTTCCATTCGTCTGTGGGGCTGCATCTTCGTCAAATTCCAGTTCGCTATCCTCCTCCTCGTCCGAATACTCTTCAAAAATTTGACCATCGTCAAACTCACCAAAGTTCATCTCAGCCTGAAAGAATGATAATTTGTAAAGGCCAGATTTATATAGGTAGAAAGATAAATCTCACCTTGCCGCAGACGTAGACGGGTCCAGTGCCCTGCACCAGTTTGAAAGTCACTGATCCGTTGGGGAACTCTACATTTGGTCTTAAGCTACGGGTCTCGCCGACCTTTAGTACGGCAATCGGAATTTTAACCGTCTTCTTCACGCCGTCGTCGTTTATGTTTGTTTCAGCCTAGGAAATAAAATAGCATTGTTAGTCACAACGGAGTCATTTATAATGTATCTGGGCTATACAGGATTAGCTGAGGCTAAACATAAAATATGAAGAAGAGAATGTTTTCTACATTCATACATTCATATAAAAACATCATACACTGTCAAACACAAGAAAAATCTAAAAACCACCACAAGACAATCGAATCGGCCATTATTATCTTGGAACATGTGTACATACAAGGCTAATTTAAAAAAGGCTGTCCTTTGATTTATGACTGTGGGATAAATATACTGCCTAGAGCTAGGCTCACCTGTACAACGTTGAATTCGCCGGTCTTTGCCTCGGGTCCGAGGGAAATCTGTTTGATGATTAATTTGTGGGAGTGGACGATGTACTCTTCTGGTATTTCTGGGACGTCAAACTGAGCGATGGGCTCCTTCTCGCTGAGTGTGACACCTGGACATGGATGAACGGCACGGAGGGTTAGATTTTTGGCTAGATTTTTTTGCCGGCTGGAGGAGCCGCATATAGCAATCCTCTGGGACCGACAATGTTGCGCTCCTCCAACCAAGCTTGTCGTAATACAATACGCACCATAAAACGATTCGGACTCCATTTGCAGGCTTTGGAACACAGTTGTACAGTCAATTAATAATGGAAACTTTTTGTACTCTACACGTGCCCGCACCGTACCGCAAAACGATTTTTATGAAGCGTTGAGCGGTGTTCCTATCGAAGCGCACAGTTATCGATAGTATTAGTTAAATTTTCTGAGTCAATATTTTATAAATTTGAGATGTGGCTAATGTAAGCAAAAACCGATAAATCATGTATTTATCATTTTTCTACAAGTCAATAAAGAGTTAAAAATGTTTTTAATACTAAAAGTGGCAGCCCTGCGATAGTCATTGTCTATCGATATTTCAACATTACCTAGTCCTGGCAACCCCGTTCTAGCTACCATTTTGCAAAAGATTTTGCTCAACACGTGTTCGCCGCTGATTTTGTGTGGAATTAATATTAAATATTACCTACAATGGCTGAGGAATCATTCTACGGTAATTACAATTTGAGAAAGCTTCTATTTCGGCGGCTGTGCGGGGTAAAAGTAGCACCGAAGAAGGTATATTTGCAACCGAAAAAGCGGAATGTCTGCGACGCTTGCCGGTGTTTTTGCTTCAAGGTTGCCGCTAGCCAATTTGTGTGTCTGGCCTCACACTCCGGATTTTGAATGTGCAAATGATGAAAATATAATGGGGACCATTTTCCTTTTGCAGGAGTCACTTTGACCGCCGAGAGCGACAGCGTCACGTGGGATGTGGACGAGGACTACGCACGCGGCCAGAAACTGGTCATTAAACAGATCCTTCTGGGCGCAGAGGCCAAGGAGAACGAGTTCAACGTGGTCGAGGTGAGTACTCCATAGTTTTAATAATGGAATGGGGAACTGCATGTAATAAATCGCAAAGGTTGTGTGTGCGCGCGCCGGTTGCTGTTTTTTTTCATTCGTTTTTTCTTTTAAATAAATTTTTCCGGCTGGCGGGGCGAGGACCGGTTTCCATTTTTCCCAGACCAGAACAACCACGAACTTTTCGCTGGTTTTTGGTTAGGGTAATTTTGTCTGTACATCTGCAGACTGCAAGGTTACCAGCCCCCGATTACCGACTGCTATAGCTGTACTTTGGCAATAGGAAGTGTGATAATTCGGCTAGTATCACCTGCTAATTACGGAAAAGCATTCAAGTAATTTTACAAAATGCTTCGTACTTATTTCCGAGAAATGTATTAATAGGTACTTATCAATATCACCATGTACCAAAAATACTTGTTACTCTGGGTAAACATTTAGAATTTTGCGAAGATAAAATGTTATAATATAATAAAAACAATTTTTTTTCTTAAAAAATTCAAAATTCTTCCAAGTGCTTACGCATTTCTGCTATACTCTCAAGATCTAATTGTATATATTTTTAAACATCACACCTAAACAAAAAATATTAAATTAGCCTTGCCATCACTGGCGCAACTGTACGCAGAAATAAATATACGAAAAGACAAAAGAGTGCTCTTTATTGACTCAAGTCAACAGCAATACATGAAACGGCTGCCTCGCAGTCCGCAATTGTTTGCATTAGGTCCGGAAAGCTTTTCGAGAACTTAAACATACTGCGCAGCTTCCTATCCATCCGGCAAATCACTCCCGCCGCTGGAATACTCCAGTTCCAGCAGATCAGGTCGCACTGCAATAGGGCTAGATCTTCGCGCAGTGATTTGAGGTTCTTCGTGGTAGAAAGAAGACCATTCGGGTCAAAGGTTATACATTAGAACAAACCTTACAACGCACTCACCAATGCCACGGTCGTATCAATTGAGGCGATCTCGTGCCCCTTAATGACCACCAATGTTGTGGAGCCATTTCCCTCGCTATTCCTACTCGTCACGTGCGACACAATTGACAACTTCAAGTATTCTGCTGCCGCGTAATCCACGCTGCCCTTCAGATCGGCCACAGTCACCTCGATTCCATTGAACTAGGGGGTTGGCGACAAAGATTATTTAGGATAACATATGACAGGTATAGCGCTCACCTTCTGGGTTTCCAAATTAAACTGTGGCTTCATGCTCTTGTAGAGCAGGAAAAGCGCGTTAAAGACAATGCCCACCACCATTCCATACTCCAAAGTCCAGAAGACGCAAGTCAGAACGGTGACCAGAAAAGGCAGCATATCACGTTCTAGAAGATACAAGGAGTTGCTTTGACTATATTGCCATTAAAGTTTTTTAACCCTCACTTTTTGCCCGCCAAATCTCGCCAATGGTCTCGTACTCCACCATAAAGAACATTGCTGCTATGATAATAGCTGCCAATGTCGCCTTCGGAATGTAGGCAAACGTGGAGGTAAGGAAGGCCAAGGTCATGATTACAATAGCGCCGGTAACAGCTCCACCCAGCGGGGTCTTCACTCCACTGGCATTATTGATAGCTGTCCTTGTAAAGGATCCAGTGATGGGCATGGAAGAGAAGAAGCTGCTAAGGACATTGCTGATTCCCAGGGCAATCATCTCCTGCGATGCGTCCACTATCTTTCCTTTGGCTAAAAAATAAATATTTGTAATATAAAGACCCTAGATGAGAAAGACTCACTCACAGAAAGCCTTGGCCACAGCTATGCTTTCCAATATAGACAGCAAGGGTATGGAAATCAAGGCAGATCCCATTTTCGAAATCATGCCACCAAAGTTCGTGATTTCTCCCGTTTCCGAGTTTTCTGTGTAAAACGGAGGCGGCTTAAAAGGCGGCAAGCCAGGCGTGATGCTGCCACTGACTAGAAAGGGCAGTTTGCCGTCTTTTTTCAAGAGATAGCACAGCAGGATTCCTATTAGCACGGCCACAGCATTGCGAGCTAATGAAATATACTTCCACACGCTCTTTATGCCAAACGGCAGGTCTTTGAGTTGCTAAAATATTCATAAAAGTTAAGAAATTAGCATCCTAATCAAATAATTAGCGGTAGTTACATACCCTCATGAGCAGCAGGATAATCAGTGTGCAGCAACCCATGATGGCATCATTTCGACGTATTTGAGTTATGTGGCCGAAGAAGTGTATCCAGCAGTCTAGGAACCCATTGGCACTACTGCTAATGCCAAACAAGCTGTTCACCTGTCCGGTGGCTATGGTTATGGCGGCTGCCATGGTAAAACCTGTCGTCACCGGCACCGATATAAACCGCATGAGCACTCCGAGATTGAGCAAACCCATTATAAAGATAATGCAGCCTGACAGGAAGCACAGGAGCACCGCATATGCTGGATTGCCATCCACATATGGCCGCACCATTAGTGCCATGATGGCCGTAGGTCCTTTTAGATAAGGAATTCGACTACTTAGTTGTGGCATAAACAGCTCCTGAGACTTCGCAACTCACCCACCGTGATGTCTTTGCAGGTTCCTAGGAATATATATACAAATCCACCCATAAAAGCTGAATAGAGTCCATAGGCTGGTGGCAGATTGGCAACAGCTCCGTAAGCTATAGCTTGTGGCACCGCCGTAAGGCCCACTGTGAGTCCCGCCACTAGATCCATAGCCAGGAAGTTCCACTGGTATTTGGGAAGCCAGTCGGTAACAGGCAGGTATCTGTGGACAGATCGCATGCTGCAGCAGCTCCGGGCCTTGGAGCCCACTGCACCGCATACATTAGGCAGGCGCTCCCTGTAAAGATCATCTGGAATCACAGAGATAGACTATTGAAAACCGTGAGGGGTCTCTTGATGAAATCTTGATATACACCCACCCGTTAAGTGGGTTACTTGATTGGAAACGCTTTTTTATGTACAAATACATTCATAATCTCTCCACATGATCTCAAGTGGGTTGATGGCTTTCTAAGGTTTGGGGGTCTTGTGACTTCTGGAAAAAAACCACAGATGTCGACAGCTGATAGACAAGTTCATCCAAAGGAAGTAAGCTTGTGTGTGATATTTCAGCGCCAGGAACACTTCATAACTCTTCGATGTTAGCACTTTGGACTTTCAGTACTTTTGTATTCTAGATAATTACTAAGTTGTCTTGAGTAACTTTAATATCCTTGACTAGTTTTATATCTTCTGAAATTATGTTATTCACCGGGGAAAGTTTACTTTTTGATATCCAGACTGATGGACAAGTTCATCCCTAGGAAGCTGCCTTGACATTGATTGTTAGGCTTTCGGAGCACTAGATAACTCTGCTAAAATAACACATTAAGCACGTAGATTTTCATGTCTAATTACGGACTTATTACAGGGTATTTGCCATAAATAAACGACACGCAGACACCGTCAGTATCTTGGAGACCTTTGTTTAGTTTTTGTCTTGGGGGTATAAGAGTTTGGCTGTACTTTTCAAAAGTTTATGTGTTTATTTCCTAACCCGGAACACTTTCAACATTTTTTATACTAAAAATAGTTTTATTTCCGGGTTTTTATTTTTGATATTCATTTCAATTGAATCGAACTGCTTTCACTTGTCCTCTTGAGGTGACGCGCTCTCCACTTACCTTCATTATCGCACATGCTGACAAGATCTGGAAAGCACTTTTGAATTGGCTAATACTAGTGGGAGTTTTGACTTGAATTACACGTTGTGGATGATTAATTAGCGGTCACTTGTTAGATTCGCACTTGCTGGACTTGGATCCGGATGAGCCTGTCTGCAGCTTGAAAGGGAACGAACCGATCCGCTTCAGCGTGGGCAGACGAATGGTCAAGCGGCGGTTAGTCGTCGGGGTTATTACTGCAAACCGACAGTGCGAATTTGTGAATGCGTAGGCAGTTATCATCGGACAGTTTAGTTAGTTTTGAGTAAGGTGTTCGGCTGACAACGATAAGACCAGAGACGAAGACTGCAGAGCGATAAAGTGGGCCAGCCGTGATGAACTTCGCTGTATCTGTTCGTCCAGATCCAAAATTTCTGTAATCGTGGAATTCAACAAAAATCTATGGCCACTTGAGAGGCCTATGGCGGTGATCTATATGGGTCAATCTTGAGTGTGAATCTTTGTTTAATACAGGTAAAGACGAAAAGATATGGCATTTGATCTTCTAAATTGCTTTACTTTTGAAACGTGCGGATCTTCATTGTATATTAACCACCTATCTATAAACCACTTGAAAAGCCTATACCGGGAATCCACCTAAAGCAATCTAACCCGAAAATCTTTCGCTCTTATTTACGCAGGTGAATACACTGAAGGACTCCGTGCAAATTCCGATCGCTGTCTTGAAGGCCGGAGAGACGCGCGCCGTCAATCCCGACGTGGAGTTCTACGAGTCCAAGGTCACCTTCAAGCTGATTAAGGGCAGCGGACCCGTCTACATTCACGGGCACAACATCAAGGATGATGTTGAGGTGGTCGACATGGAGGAAGACGACGAGGAGGATGATGTGGCTGAAGACGAGGAGGACGAGCACCCAAAGAAGCGCGCCAAGATTGAAAACGCCGCCGATGCTAAAAATGCCAAGAACAACAAGAAGAAGTAAACAGCTGACCGCCCCAATCATCCATCGAGGTTTAAGCTATAAACGTGTAGATTTTAAAGCAAAAACAGTTTTAGGCCCTATATTACAATACGATGCATACTGAGAATACAATCTAGTTCCTTTTGAACAGCTCCTTTTACATTCAATTCAAAGACAACGTTGTGTGCTCGGATCGTGTTATCCTAAGCGAATGGTCTGTCACTCAGCAAGGAGTTGTGCTCCCCGTTGGGAGCAGACCGGACTGTGACTGATCGGACACTAGTCGAACACACAGATTTGTATATATATAACTAAAGCTAAGCCGGACTTCCTGTACGCGCCTCCTTCATATTTGCAGTATGAAAATAAACTGTCGTCGGAATACAAAACATATTTAATGTTTCCTTTTTACGTAAACCAGCCTTTCAATTATTTTCCAGTTTTATTTCTCCCACTAATTCGTTACTCATCAATTGAAATTTCACATTTGGTAATGCTATAAGGGCTATCATGATTGCAGTTCTATGAAGTGTATCAAAGCGGTTTCGGGAATGCCTTCAAAGATTGCGGGTTGCTGCTCGGAAGTGGTTTCCTCTAGTTCAGTGCTTAGTTCGGCGATGGCATGACCTTGATGCGCTCAAAGGCCTGTTTCTCCAGGGTTTCACGGTGCTTGGGATCGGCGATCTGGATGAGTTCATACATCCTCTGGCGCACGTTCTTGCCAAACAACGAGGCAATTCCATGTTCCGTAACAACGTAGTGAACGTGGGCACGAGAAGTGACGACGCCAGCGCCTAGAAAGAATTAACGATTCATTTTGGTTCATCATACTCGGAGCTTTGAATACATACCCTCCTTCAGTGCAGGCACAATTTTGCTTTCTCCCTTGTTGGTGGTCGATGGCATGGCAATGATTGGCACACCCAGACCATCAAGACCTTCTGCAGCTCCGCGAATAAAGTCGACCTGACCGCCGAATCCAGAGTAGAAACGGGTGCCAATCGAATCGGAGCAAACCTGTCCAGTCAGATCAACTTCAATGCAACTGTTAATGGCCGTCATGCGGGGCTGCTGCTTCACAATGCTAGTGTTGTTCACATAATCGATGGCGTACATCTCTGAATGAAGGAAAATAGGGTATTAGACCAAGTCAATATAATTAAAATTTAGACTAAAAATGTTTAAAATTTCAGGCTTAAAGATCTCTTACTTACCAATGAAGGGGTTGTTGTCGACAAAGTCATAAAGAGCCTTGTCACCGATGAGGAAAGAGCCTACGATCCTGCCCTGGTGCATCTTCTTTTTGCTGTTAGTTACACATCCCTTGCGCACCAGTTCCACGACACCGTTAGCGAACATCTCGGAGTGGATGCCCAAATCCTTGTGGTTGTGCAGGGCGGCGAGAACGGCGTCTGGAATGCTGCCAATACCCATCTGCAGGGTGGCGCCATCCTTCACCAGGTTCTCGGCAATAAGTTTGCCGATCTTCTTCTCCACGGGAGAAATCTCACCAGTTCCGTGCTGTGGCAGATCGTCGGTGACCTCGATGGCGTAGTCAAAATGCGACTTGTGAATAATGGCATCGCCGAAGGTGCGGGGCATCTTGGGGTTGATTTGGGCTGAAGAAGGAAAACCATTCAGGTGTGAGATAAAAAGCAATTGGAATCCAATACTCACCAACAATAAGCTTCGAGTGGAGCAAGGCAGCTCGCACACAATCGACGCTAGTACCCAGGGAGCAGTAGCCATGGTTATCCGGTGGCGAGACATGGATGAAAGACACATCAGGCTGTACGATCTTCTTGTAGAACAATTGCGGGATCTCATGAAGGAAGATCGGCACATTATCACCACGTCCCTCGGCCACAGCCTTGCGCACATTGGCGCCCATGAAGAAGGAGTTGGAGCGGAAGATGTCCTTGTACTCCGGCTTGGCGTACTCTCCAGGACCCTCTGTGTGCATGTGGCACACAGTGACGCACTCCAACTTGTTGTTCTTTCCGTGCTTTGCCATCGCATTCAGCAGAGCCACGGGCGTGGATGCTGCTCCGCCGGCGAAGACCGTGTCACCTAGATTAGAAGGAAACCGCAGGTTTTATTACCAATAACATCATTTGGCACACATTGCTAATCAGCTAACACGTAGATATTGTACATTTTATGAAACGTTAATCTTTCGAGCATGGCCTTATCTACAGATAGCCATAACATGCAATCCTACACTTAAAGCTTTCTAATTTGAATTAATTAATGATGCTCTAAAAGAGATGATAAAGAAATTAAAAGAAGGTGGTTGAATTACTTTTCTTCTTCAAGGCACTTCGGTATTTCCAAATAACTTTTATGAAATGTTAATCTGACGAGCATGCCCGGATCTGTACAAAATCATAAAAGCAATTTTATGTCAAGTCCTGATCATTTAATTAATGCATTTCTTTTGCATTGAAATAAGGTCGCTAATAGGTAATCACGATTAATAAATTATAAGAATCTTAGATTCTAAAAATACAATTCAACCATCAGATTTTCTTGTTTATTAATGGAAGAAAGCTTTAAGTTTATGCTTAAAATGCATATAAATATTTATAGGCTTTTTTAAAAATGTGTAATTGGAAATTGTATTTAACTTTTATAATGCTATTATGTTATTTATAAAACGTTAACTCTCTGATCATTCGCTCCCCAAATGTCTCAAGAAATACTCTCAAAAGCTTTAAAGCTTTAACTGATATATATAATAGACAAGGCGATAGAGAGAATGCGAAGAGTGGGAGAGCTTATTGCCAAGCAACTCGTGATAATGAATGTTTGTAAATAAATAACACCGGTTTCAATGCTAAAATTACATGGTAAACAATTCTGACATGACAAGATTAGACTATAATGCAGTAGTGTTTAATTACTGAGGCCAAAAAGAACAAAGGCAAAATGTCTTATGCAAAACTTCTTATCATAAATAGTTCATAATTTAGTATTTATATTCAGCTGAATTCAGGAAACTTTCTCTTTCTACAGCATAGTAAGCAGTGCTGTTATACCACCCTAATGCATTTTTAAGCACATGATGCATTTGCCATTCTATTTTAGTTACACTCTCTATAGGCCGGTATGCCGATGTATTTCTGTTTAAAGAAACTGGCAAGACCAATGCTGTGCAAATAAAATCAAACAAGCCCCTTCAACTAAGGAAGTCATACGATAAGTGCGATCCTTATCAGCAGACGTCTGAGCCACGTCGACAATGCCAAGTTTTCCACGAGCTTTTCACCAACATTTATGCCTCTTAATATTTCTACCACAATTGCAAAAACTGAATCCATATCTAGTTAGGTAGCTATTTAGTCAATGCGCACTGTACCGCTTATTATCTGCCAAAAACGTGCCAAACGAAAAAGTTTTCCAAATCGAATTACGTCGCAGATCTGGCATGGCTTGTGCTGGCTATTTTGGCTAAAATTAGAGATACTAATTTTGGGTGACGTTTGTGGTCCCCTGCGATTCAGAGACCCGCCCCCCGCAATAATATTATCAATTTGCATGGACCTGCTGATGAGAGCCCATAGAAGTGCTAAGAAATTAAGATATTTTATGCCTTGTGGGCGTGTCCAAATATTTGTTTGGATCACAGGAGACTGCCAAATTGCGGCCAATTGAATTTAATCAAAGCAGAGGGTCCCCCAAAAAATGTTCAGCCACAAAACAAAAATCAGATCATGCCTATCTTTATGTCCAACATAAAAATTATCTATTTTTGTATCGTGATAAGACAGAATATTCCGTTTTTATTAAAGAAATCATTTAATTAATATTCTTTCTTGGTAGCTATTGATTATTATTCCTCTAAAGAATCAATAATTTTTCCAATAGCAGATAAGTTCACCTGCTGATTTTAGTTGCATAACCTCGCCTCCATATAAAGCTGCTCTAATACTATATGGTATATGGGTACTATATGGTACATACGTATATAGCGGGTCTTATCAGCACCTCAACCAAAGGCCGGTTGTCTGGATAGACTTGTTTATGAGCTACATAAGTTGTTCTTGCCACTAAGCTGAGCTTTGCATTGGACTTTTCTGCTGTTTTTGTCGCTCTGTTTGCTGAGTACAAAGTACAACTTTCGCCTGGAAACTCATCTACAGCGCCGAGCATATGCATCTATAAATATGTGTAAATTTCTAGTCGGTGAATGCACGCACAGCTGTTTTCGCGAGATTAAATTAATATAATTTGCACTTATATCGCTTGCAACACTCTGAATTACGTATATAAAAATCGAAAATACTGATAGACGAAGGCAGTGGCTATATGAATGGTTGTTTCTTGATAAGAAGACTACCTAAAATTCTACTTATCCATTGTATAACTTTTATTGTATTTACAAATATATATATACAATATTTTTCTCTCCCTAAACTAATATATTGCACTTTAAAAAACCCCACTCCATGTGGCCACGAATGCCGCTCTAATCACGGGCAATTTAGTGCCATGAATCCATATATTGAGCACCCTGTAATTGCCCTTCCCCAAGTGCTCGAAAGTAGTTTGAATTAACAAACACACATGGGCTTACATTTGCATGGCCCCGCAACCCGGCGTTCTCGTTTTCATTCTGTTTTCCTAAGCAGGCCCACTAGAATATTACATAACACAAAAGATTGCAAACACAATACGATAATGAAAACCAGTTCCTTCAGGAAGATGGCTTCTTAAGAAAGATATAGGAGCGCTAAGGACTTACCCGATTTAACGCATGCCACGGCCTCTTCCGCCTTTACGATTGGAGGCTCCCGAGCGATGGGATGCGACAACTCCCGGACATAAGTGAAGTAGTTGTTCTGAGCGGAAACCGTGGAAGCAGTAGTCGCCGTCTTCAAAAGGTTGTTCAGCTGACTCACATGGCGCGCCAATTGCTTGCTCATGATGGCTTATATTATATTTTATTTCAAACACACACGTCGAGAAGGGCTAACGAGAAATTCGCGAGATGCAGGGGCGATGAATGGTGGGTTTCACTTGAGAAGTTTCTGAGATGAGTTCCGTCCTCGGCGGCACCAAATTTGCAACTGGTTCGCTAAACATTAAACGCCATAAAAGCTCTTCACCAAAAGCTGCCCCCGATCTCAATCCCGAGCACCTTCTCTACCGTCTACTGCTTTATTCTGTACTGTGTATTCCTCATTTGATATTTGGATGGGTTCTTAACCTAGGGATTTTGATAGATTTGTATATTTACGTAGACATTTAATGTTAAATTTTAAAATACGAGTAGTTGCCAGTGTTGGGAAAGGCACCTATAAAGCTATCGGTGTTATCGATATATAAAGTAATCGGAACAAGGCGCACTTTTGAAAACTGATAAGAACAAATCGTACAACAAAGTAAAACCAAAACAAAAACAGCTTTAATTCATATTTTATATTGAAAAGACATTCGGTTGGTAGAGCATTTACTTGGCGTTTATTCACTAAGATTATTCGTTCAATTAATCAAAAATTCCTAATACATAAAAGCGCTTTGGACTAACGATTAAAAAATAACAAATTACATTAGTTCCGCGTTTATATCATAAAAAGACCTTATGTAATGTATACAACGCAATTCATCTATGTACAGGCTTAAAACGTAGGATCGTAAGATATATCAAAAGTTGTATCTAAGATATATTATAGCATGTGCATGTGGTACATTGCTATGACTAGTTTATGCGATTTGCTGCCTCTAGACTCGAGTTAAATGACCGTTTACAAAACGGCTTCGGCACAATCTGGGGATACGAGTTAATATACTTTATCGCTAGTATTCGTAGGTTTAGTTTCAGTTATAAGGATTGCTACCCCGTCGCTCGGAACTCTGTCGATCCTTGAGTCTGGACGGAGCCTGAACAATACATAGAGACTATCGAACTGAACGAACTGAAGGACAATCTTTTCAAGGTAGTTAGATTACAACACGGCGTTCATTAAATATGTGACTAGAGGATTACTTATAGTATGAGTTGTGCAGCGCCCGTGGCGTGGGGTCTTTGGGCTTCTGGCTTTGATTATTTTCGGTTAGTTAGCTGATACAGAGTATTTGCTGAATGTTCGTTTACAGTGTTTAAGGCTACTGCTTAATATTTCTACTTAGATAACGCTATGAGCTAGACATCCTTTCTACTGACTGATTGGTTTCTGATTCCGATTCCGCTCCCTTATGCGGAAATAGTTAGATCTTGAGTTTGGTACTCCCAAGCCCTTACCTCGTGGGCAGCGTCATATTCAGGCACAGCTCGTGATCTCGCAGATCCCCCCAGCCGCCGTTACCTTTTCGAAGCTTCGACTTTTTCATCAAACTGGGTACTGTTAGCGTGAGCGAGCGAGGAAAGAGCTGATGCGATGTCCGGGCTATCCGCAGTACGTGCTGCACCTTCGATATCACCTGGTTTGACTCGCAGTTCTTGTTCTTGTGGTGAACGCCACTAAAAGGGAGAAAGAATGTTATGATCAGCCAAATATATATATATATAATTTTGTGTAAAAGGGTTTCCTTTTTACCATTCTCCAATGTGGAAGACCCTAGGGCCCTTGACGATCATCGCGTGCAGTTTCCGCCGCAAACACTGCTGGGAAACGTGCTGCAAGGACCAATCCCAGTTGTAATCGTCGTAGGTGCAGAAGTGACGGGCGCACTTTCGAATGTTTGACCAGGTGGTGCGGTTGAAGGCGAAGCCCATGTTGTGCTTACTGCTAATCCAAGGCATGACCTCCACCTGTCGAAAAGAAAAGCAGGGTTAGCTTCACATAATGGAGAATAATATGAGTAGCAACAATATAAAAAACGGATTATCAAGAAGGTTAGGAAAAGGGGCATGCAAATTTCAAACGATTCGGTTTGCCTGATGAGGTTAATTTGAATTCTGGGCCACTCCAAGTGGTTCCCAACACGCACTGCTTTCGTCCTGGACTAACCACTATTTGGATTCAAAGTGCGGAAGCCATATATTCGGGTGGGTTACAGTGCGCGCCATACCAAATACCTTGCGATAGTCATTGCTGATGCTCTGCCTGTCGATCTTCACGGTGCGTACGCGGGCGTGCAACTGGCAGATCGAATCGTATCGAATCAGATCAGGAACGGGGCGAAGTAGTTGGGTCAGAGATGAGGCATGCCATCACAGACACATAGACAAGTACAATTAAACACAACATTTACAACAACAAAACGGCAGTGATGGAATGGTTAAACATCAAATGGATTAAAAGGGTGTCAAACTAATATGTAGTCATTTTGTTGGAAAAAAACCATAAACTCTAAACCCAGAAACTTTTAAGGACCCTTTCCCATCACTGCCAACAGGAGAGTATAATATAGTAGTAGGATAGGACAGATCATGCAAAATATTGCCAAAGCGTAAATGGATGGAGTATGCAACAAAGAATGGGCAACGTGGTAAAATCTACGTAAACGGGAATGATGGAATTAGGCAGGTGGGTGCTCGTGCTCGGCTAGGGATGAATTAGAGCTTAGAGCGGCTGGTGCGGTTAACGGGTATCCTCAAGGGATCCCTGGAGCTAGCGGTGCGGTGGCGCTACCTTCTGATAGACGGAATACAATGACGGCAGGACATGATAGTTCCATGTTTGTGCACCATTTTTGCTGCTGCTATGGCTACTTTGCTCATTATTGTTGGTGTCGGATGTGGCGGCGGTGGCGGTGACAGTGTTGATGAGGTTGCCCCGCTTGTTACTGGAGTCACTGGCTTTCTGGTTGTCAGATGTGTCGCCCACATAGACTTTGGATGACGATGGTGATTGCGCAGATGATGAGGAAGAATAAGAGGACGACACAGCTAATTGCACAGAGTTTCTATTGTTATTCCTATTGTATCCTAATAGACTGTTTGTCGAGATCAGCGAGGAAGCATAGGATTTCTTGTTAGTCTGCGTGCCAGAATTCGGAATAGAACAGATACATATGGTAAATTACAATAGTCAGATGAGTTTTGTCTAGATAAACACATGTTTGTGTGGGTCTATGATCGAATAACTGGCACCCATTCGGGCAAGGTCCTTGCCGCCATGGGTTGCCATCTCAAGTCCCAATAATGGATGGGTTCAATGCGTTTAGAATGAATGTGTTGTGTTGCAACGGAAGCTTGAAGGATATACACAAGACAGGCTCGAAGCGCTCTCTGAACTTTTTCAGCCAATGGTCTAGCCTTAAGTGTACGTTTACTCTGCTCCATAGCTCACCTTGCTGTGGTACGTGTAGTAGTTGAAGGTCTTGAGATAGGTGCCCAGGGACAGCACGTTGCACTGGGGGCACAAGTCTTTGGTTCGTTGCTGCATCATGGCCAGCAGATATAAGAAGTCTTCGGCCACATAGTGGTCTTCCTCGAGGAATAGGACCAGTCCTGTAGTGAAATTTCATTAGTAATCTTTGATAATATTTGAATATCAACTGGTTTTACCTGTGTGATAGCGGGTCACCTCCAGTTCATTGAACACGCGGTTCGCTTTCCAAATCCAGTGGTGCTTTGTCTGCGTAAACTTAGCCTCTCGGTAATGACCATAAAGATCGGGGTACATCGCATTGTTGCAATTGGTGATCAGAGCCCTATTGAATATGGATTGTAGATGATTATAGTACTAAATATCTTATCTACTTCTACGTACTGCTCCTTTTTGATGTTCCGCGGGCAGTCATTGGGATCCACGCCGGGATACTCGTTAGGATGCGTCTGAATGGAGTACGGATAGAAGATCTGCATTACTTTGCAGAAGTCGATCTGCTGCACCAGGTCGTTGATGTCGTCGTCATAATAGTCATGCGAGAACACCAGCAGCACCTTAGAAATGTCCCGGGCCTGCGCCAGACTCACGATCAGATGGCGCAGATAGGTAATCCTTGTGTGCACCTGGACTACAATTATCACAGAGTCGTTTTGCAGGGGCCCGAAGACGTCCTCGTTCAGCACCATCTGCATATCGTTGTACCTCACGATCTGACGTTTGATCTCCGTGATATTTGGAGGATGGTAGACGTCAAAGCTGATTGTGGTAGCAGTAGCAGCTCCAGGGCTGCTAGCATTCAGGAGCAGGGCTAAGAAGGTAATAAAGCCCGAATAAAACCACATTTATATAAACTTCTGTAGGGGTTTTACCTGCTCCAGAAAGGACTCCTGCACCAGAGGTGGAGTGATTGCGCGAGTGGGGCGTCAGATATTTGTGAAGAGGGGCCGGCACCATGGCAAGGATGGCATCATCCGAGTCATTGGTGACCGCATCGCTCAGCACATTGTCCCGAGAGTCCACTGGATTAGAGTATTAAAAAATATGTATTTAATTTGTGACAAACTCTAGTTAGTAGTTCCAACGTACAGTAGTTAAAATTGTGGTACTGCAACAGGCCAAAAATGCATAGGGCCAGGAGGAAGAAGCTCCTCATGTAGAAGTTATTGCGCTTGCGCCCCATTGCTCCGGTATTGGGCAGTGGGATCAAAATGCGACCTGTTCAACAGCAAACATATTTAGCATGGCTTTCTATTTGTTTGGGGATCTCGCTTCAATTACCCCTCATTTTCGACATTTCCGCAACTCGTTCCGTTCTCGTCTCGTCTCGCTTCCGGATGGAATACCTGCCTAGTGCTCACTGAGTGGGCAGCATCATATCGCCATCTGGAACATTATAGCCACAAATTTTAGAAATACTCTGATAAACAAAAAAGCAAAAATGTATTGGTGTATTACAGCCCTGAATGAATCAGTAGCAATTATATATAATAAACACGGCAGCTGCAAAGATTAATCACTTTGTTGAATCTGGAAAGTGATTGCTAACAAATGTTTAGCACCTAAAGCAAGGAAGGTATTTGGTTTTTCTTTATTATAAACTATACAAACGATTTTATTTATATAATTTCCCTAAACTAGTTAAATTCATAAAGAACGGAAAACTGTTTCTATTCTTTCAGATTGTATTCAAAGCTCTCATTAAAAGAACACATGAAGAGAAATTGGATTTAAGAAGGGGAAATCCAGAACATCTATTGTGTTGTTGGGGCTAATCTCCCATGAAATCAGTGCCCAGACTCTCCAGGGCTTATCCGCACAATGGAATTCGGAATGGGAATGCTAATCAGAAGAGTAACGAGTACGCAAATTCAATTACACGGCGGCCTCCGGTGGGCCGCGATCTCAGATCCATACTTGGCACTTGAGTTTAATTAGCAGTGGAGGCTCACAGGTCTCCGGATGAATGGGTATGTGAGAGCTTGGGGCCGAAGGAGGAGAAGAAGCACGTAGCCGCCGCATGGAGCACCGCACGCAGTTGGAGAGCCTGTAAAGTGGGCGGACCGCCGTCTGAAATCTGAATTCTGAAATCACAAATCCGCGGCCTCGCGTCAATTGGCATAAAAATAGATTCGGCGGCGTGCGGCTCAGCGAAAATTTTCACAAGTGAAACGCTTTTGCTTCGAGGAAGCGCAATTCGTGTGGCAGATACAGGAAAGAACTAGATAGTGCCTGCTACTAAAAATCATGTAATGATATGTGGGTTTTAAGGGGGCGTTTCTAGAGACATACGCAATGACCTATTTAAAGTTATATTACAAATCATTGGAGATCGTTCTTTTGCTAGCCATTAAACAACAAATTTAAGCACGTCAACTTGATAGATTTATACTGTCATTATTAATTTAATAATGTTCCATTTAAAAAGAAAACACTGTAATCATTTGGATACGAAAATTCCTAGTACTTCCAAAGTTTCGGGGTGCGTAGAATTTTACCCACATGTCTTAAACACCAATAACAACTATAATATTGTTTATACAATAAAAAGAACACTTGCAAATACGTGAAAGCAGAATATATTCTTGGGTCAATTAAATGTGTTCATATCAGCTTTTTTGTTGAAGGCCGAAACTAACTAATAAGGTATAAATAAACATGTGTACGTGTGCACTCATGAACTTTTCATATAAGGTCCAAATATATACCTTGAGATGAGGCACAGAAAAGCCTTGTGAGAACTATTAAAAGTTTCCTTTTTAAGCTTTTCCTTAACGGACTACACTAATTTCTTCTCACTTTTCCCCGGAATTTAAGCAGTTTGTTTTGGCGTCAAGCTGTCGCCAGTAAAAAGCAGTTTCGTTTCACAAGTGGACATCGCAAATTCAAGTCACATGCAAATTTCATTTAGGCACACCACTATAATATATGCTTGTACGTCTCGGCTGCTAGGGCTATCACAACATCTACTATATGTATAACACCCTATTGACTAGGAAGCCATAACCGAAATGGAGAAAGAAATCTAGAGTTCTTGATTAACAGAAACTCCCGCACCGAATGACTATCTAATTACGCCCCTTTGTGCCAGGCAACTACTAATTATAATGTTTCCTGGTAACGTCATTCTGACGCACTTAAATGAATAAAATCAATGAAATCAAGTTAATATCTCGGCCCGTTTATTAATAAATTGTAAGTGGGGCAATTGACAACAGAATTCGACTTTGAAATTCACAGAAGGAAAAGAAAATACGGGAAAATATAGAAAGAACGAATACACAGAAGAAAATTGTTACATAAATGAATTAAACTAAACTGTGTGTTACTTCTCATGCATATTTGCATACTTAATTTGGGCTCAACCTGAGTTAATATTTACCATTTAAACTAGCTTCGATAAATAAATGACCGCTTTCACCAGCAGATCAAAGATCATTGACATTGTTTTGTAAATTTATGAATGAAAAATTTATGGTCATCTCTGTAGATAAAACCAGATAGCGAACTATATGGAAATAAAACTATATTATTATCGTAACATTATTGAATTGAGTTTGGTATACGAAATTAATGAATAAATCAAATAAAACAAATCACTACCACTGGCTTGTTTCATTCAAAGTGCTAAAATTCCTAATTAACACTCTTCGGGCCTAAAAAAGCTGATTAATGAAAGTAGAAGATGTTTTTTTCTGTGTAGGAACAACCACTGCTCGTAAATGCAGAGCATTTTTGTATTTTTTTTGAGGCGGTAGGGTGTGACGGTGGGCGGGGGAGGGGCTCAGGGGCGGAGGTCGAACAGGTATTTTCGGTTTAGTTGTTACGAAATAAATGGCAAAAATTGTCATGCCGAAACGAAAACAAAACAAACACACGAAAACGCAGGCAAATGCGCCGTTTACTTTGCACTGTTTTTTGTATGCTTTTCGGGTAGTTTTTATTGACTGAGTTTGACTTTTGTGCCTTTTTCATGGGGCGTGTTAATTATAGGAGCATTTAGACTTGCCTTTGGTTGAATTTCCGAGGAGTTCCGCTCCTTCGAAGGACCCAAAACCCTCCATTATTTCGTGGTCGCTAGTTTCTTTGCGGCCAATCGATTTTTCAGGCGCCTCTAAGAAGTCCAAATGCAGCGTAACAAATTCCCAGCTTTCAGCCGATTTATCGGGCATTTTTAGTTTAAATACTTTTTTATATATACTACCGATTCCCCGGGGAATCGAAAGTTTAACTTTTATTCCTGTTTGTTGTTGTTTCCTTCAATTTTGATGTTGTTTTTGTTTCTGCAATGCAAACCCTTGCATTTACGGTACACACACATACTAACAGCTGCTACGGCTGCCGCTGCACACACCAACACGCACAACGGACAAACGGGCATCTCTGTCCCTGTCTCTTTTCATCTGGCTACCCCGCACATTTTTCACATTTCCCGGTTTTGTTATTTTTATTGTTTTTATGTTAAGCTCTAAATTCAGTTTTCACTTTCGTTTGGCTTGGCCAACAACAAAGCTCGCGATCGAGTACCTCCGGTTGGCCGTCCGTTACGAACGGGTATCTGAGTATCTATCTGTATCTGAGTATTTCAGAGAGCTTATGGAATCGGAATCAACACAAACAGCTGTTCGGACAGAGATGGTCGGTCTTCGATAGGTGATTCAAAGGGTGAAGTCGATAGGTTTAACGTTTGTAAATATTATGGATTTATTATTAGTTTAATTGAAGTTAAATTATTGTCTAACAATGCTGCATGTTAATTATACATTCGTGAATTATTTGTTGTCTCTAGCTAACCGCCTAACGCTGTTTCCTTGCCTCGCGTTCAGATTCCAAGAGAGAAAGGATATCACCCTCACGTACAGGTCCTTTCACGTTGCGAATAACCTGGTGTTTCTGCTCGTCAAGGAAACTCGACCCTCACCTGAGTACACTGCCCTTGTGATCCAGTGCGACCAATAATTTTCACCACGCGGGCGTGAATTGGTTTGTCCATAGTTGATAAAAATGTAGTGATAACTTTTGAGTAATTTTTCCTACGGTAACAAATTTAAATATGAACCAGTCAGTTTGAAGCCCTGGTAGTCCGATGATGAGATCCCATACGCACCATCCCTGAATCGAACGGCAGCCATTATCGAACCAGTTCGATTTCGAACCACGCAACTCTAGCATGTAATCGTTTAATCGAGACCGTCTAACATTTGTGTGGAACTAAATTTTGTTTTGCCGTTCAATAAATCTATTATTTACCACTAAATAAGCGGTGCCGCAGAGCCCGGAAAGTGTGTCCGTGTTCTGGAGATTCGGAGTACAACGAATCCGCAACGATACGTCCATGAAAATCGAACGGCAGCAGCAGCAGAACCAACAACCAGCAAAAGCAACAGCAACAAAATACACAAAATAAAAGAAGCAGCAGACGGAAAAGTGTTTAAATGGTTGAGAACTGAAAGAAGAAACGACTTTATATAGATTTCCCAGAGTGCAGGACCACGAAAACGGCGAAAATGCTTTAGAGGGCGGCGGTTCTGCATGATTTTCTCCCTCCGGAGAGACCAGAGTTGCCAGAGGACGAGGATGACTACTACAACTCCTGGCGAACCAGGAAGCTAAAGATATATAGCCCATATATATCCTCCAATCTAGTGTAGAAATCGGGAAATGCCCTCGGGTAGTCCCGCTTGAGGAGACGATCCCGGCTTGCGGATCTGCAGTAGCCTTGTTTAGCATTTAGTCCGGTCATTGTGCCTGCGCCTTGTTAACCACACTCTCTTGTTTACGTTTGCTTGTTTGTTGAACTCCACAAATCGTCCTTCCATTAATTGTTAGTCACGAATCCCTCTCGTTGAGCACACAAATCAAAATGAAAGCATCCTCGTCGATATCAAAATTGAAATTGAAATTGCAATTGAAATCGAAGCGTCCAGCCGTTAAAGCTACAATCAAATTATTCCCGTCCAAACCCACCTCGTCATCGCCATTGTCACCGCCATCGAAGATTGCAGCTAGGGTCGCCAGGATTTCGCAAGGATCAGTTCTCTGCCATCCCAATTGAGTGAAGCCAAGGATACACGAATCTAAGGGTATGAACCTTTTTCTTTTCAAATTCAAAAACTAATTCTCTAATCTCCCTACTTAGTGTGTGAGTAATCATTTGATGGTTTCGCCCTTATATCATGGAGTATGGATTTTGGCATTTGCCTAATACATTGGCATCTACATAACAATTACAACAGTTAAACTAAGTTGGTTGAATGGTTGCTCTAAGAATTTGCCTTAGAAAGTGCAAAAAGCTATATTTTTCTGAATGTAGCGTTCAGTTATCAACAAGGACTATCTCATAAATTCAAATCAAAACACTAAATTTGTTTAAGATATTAAACACAGGGATAAATTTTTTTGAAGAATTCAATAATGTGCATTATTAACCAATATTGATTGTACCTCCCTAACTGGTTAATTTTATAACAATTGAGCTAAGAAATATCTTAACAGGTTTAATGTATTGATTATTCAACACAATTAGAAAATCATAAAAATATTTTAGCTGTTAAGAAAAGTCGAAAGGCTTTATAAATGATTATGCCATGCGAATGCTATTCTCCATATCCTCAAAAACATTCTTACATCTTTACCTAAAACATTAACAACTTAATATCTATCAGCAATATTCATTATCACAACTTATTTAAGGAAATCTATCAGAAAATCATTATTAAAACAATTAATTAACTACATTAAATGACTTCATGGGACTTAGACATTACTGTAGGTCGATTTACACATTTAAATATATTTTTAAACTTTTTAACTTTTGCTTAGGTAATATTAATTGTATTGAATCATTATTTTTTATTATTATATATTATCATAATATGATTATCCATTCTATTCTATACAAGAATACTAATTAAAAATTTGTTTTTCCATTTGTTTTCAGGTACTGCATGTACTACATCAACTGTAATATAAGATACATAAATAGGAAGTAATGCGAATAGGAAATAATACGTGAGAAGCAGTGTTACAAATTTCTACACCTCGGACATCAAAAGATTCATCCATCTTAAAGGACTTACAGCGTTTTGAAATCATAAATTCTCAAGCGTTGGCCATTTCTCACTTGAGTTAAATCGGTAAGTGTTTTATATCCTTTCTTTTTTGTAAACATTCTTAGCATGTTTAGGGCGCAAATTGGATGCACCCGTGCGAGAAATATTTGTCCTCCCCACAATTTTAATATCAAAGGATTATTGAATATGGAATGCGTTGGGAGAGGGGTATCTGTTACTTGGTTTTATTGAATTACTTCACTCCATGAAAATAAAATGTTATTGGGTAGCAAGAAATATTTTAAATAAATTCAAAAACTGTCTTATGTTAGCTGAAAACATGTAGTTCCTGTTTAATTTGAAAATATTACTTAGTCCACGAGGTAATTGCTAATTTCTGAATTCATTCAACTTAGAATTAGTTTTGTTGTTGCTGGCCCACTTTTCATTTAACCTACTGAATTCCAGGTAAAATTTTATTTATAATCCCCTAATTACCGGTATAACAATTAAAAGGAGTCAAAAACGTTAATACTTCTTTAAATGTTGTTTGTTTCTTAAAATAAAGATTAAAAGGATAAATTGCTCAACTTAAGGTTACTTTTAAGCTTAAACATAACTAATAACATTGGAATGAATTTAAAATAGCTTTATTTGATACAAAAATTAATGCGTGCATATATATTTTATAAATATTGATTTATATTTTTAGGAATTACTGGAACTTTTTGGAATACAAACAACTTTCCCTGATTTCCATGTTGAATTTTTTATGCAAATTACATATGTGAGTATTCCCATTAATTATAATAACGCTACTATTGTTTTAGCTAAAAAATGTTTATTGTAAAATCAGAAGCAATTGTCTTCAATAGGAAGTTCATATTTTGACAGGATTATATAAACAATTTACGAACTCAGCATATCATCGGAAGATAACCATTTAATATGATTTTAAATATGTGATATTGCTTTAATACATTTAACACTCAACTTTCGTTTATTTTAACGTTTAAACATACAATTTTATTCAGTTCAATTCGAATTTTACTAAACAATAAAATACCTTGGTCCTTTCCAAACGCATTTGGGGACTGTTCACTTTGACGTGCTCCCTTTAAATTAAAAAAATGCTATATATAATGTATTGCCACCTCAATCCTGTAATAAGTTTTCATTGTCCTAAAGAGGTGCAACAGTTTACCCCGCCAAAGTGCATCCTCCGGTGTCCTTGCAATGGGCGTTGCACCTGAAAAGTGAGCGCTTCCGTGCTGAACTTTTCTGGCTTTGCTGGCAACTTTTGCCGCGAACAAAGTGCCACTATTGACCTTCGGCAATACTCACAGCCGTTGTGAGTATTTTCCGTGCTTTTCCCCCAGTTTGCCAGTCCAGGCCAGCCGGGAGTCTAGACCGCCATCAGACGCCCGTTCATCAGGTTCGTTTGGCTCAGCAGCAATGGCGGTCTTAACCTCATTAGAAACAAACGAGGCTGCCGCCGGTCGCCCCTCCCCTCCATATTGTTTTCAAACTTATTCGAAAATTATTTGCACATTTGTGTTTAGGGGAGGAAATGGAATCAGGAGGTGGGTCTTCAAGCTCAACCCTTGCCCCAACCCCTGTCGTTTTTCAGGATTACAAATAAAACCCAACTCCGCTGCTCTGTTTATGTACAATAAGGACGGGCGTCTGATTTTTCCCTTGCTCTGGCACCCTGGCAGTGGGCCAGGATTTGGTCTGGGTTCTGAGGACTGGGGACCACGGACTGGGGACTGCGGGCTCAATCTGGACCTGCGCATATTGGTTGCACACAATGACTCCTATTCGCCTGATGCCGTCTCGCTTGCTCCGCCGCAACCACGGACACTTTGAAAAGAACATCCTTTGTGTGTTGTTGTACAATGTACATGAAGCATCATTATGTTGGAGGTCGTCCCCAGCGCAAGTCCTCGTACTCCTGCTCCTCTGCCGGGCAGTAGTCCATCAACAGCTGGTCGGAAACTTTGAGGGGCTTAGATTTTCCACTAAAAGAAAAGGCTACCTGTTATGAACTGAGTTTTTAGAGACATTTGCCTGGAAAATTAGTCTATTGTCAAATCTTAAATCAAGGTTAGAATAGTAGAATAAAGCTTAGTGAATATGTTTATCTTCTTCAAAAAAAAAGAAATTCTATAACTTCGCGAGATATTCCAAGTCGACTGTTGATATCATAAGATTAATCGAAATCTTACAATTCATTTCTTATTCTATACCATTTTTGTGATAAACTTCATCCTTACCAGACTCTGAGATTCATAAGTATTTACTTTTTCTCTGCGTGGCGATCCGACTTCGATGTGCTCGTCAATTAAGGTTGATATCCGTACATAAACGACGTAAACGCCATCCTCGATGTCCGCATGCAACAATTGTGAATGGAACAGGAGGCAGTGGGTGCAGAAGAGGATTGAGAAATGAGGATGAGAGGTGGAGGGCTGGTCCGGGCAACCCCGAAACGGTTTATGTACTCTGGCGGCTTCGGCATGGGCGCACATACGCGGCTGGCAGGGTGAAATCTGCAAGCGCTGTCAACGCTGGATGAGGATTCAGAACTCGGGACTCGTTCAGTTTGACTTTCCGCTTGTCAAGGCATTGTCACCGAATACTTTGTGCTCCGTGGCTCGTGGCGAGATTTGTCAACAATTAGTGGCGATAATAATCCGAAAAGTCGCGCGGTTCTTAAGTGAGCAACCTGTCGGGGCATTTCGAGTGCATCAAAGGTGATTTAATGTTGTCACATCTACCGCAGCATACCTGAGGCTTGGGATTCTGAAAAGAAAAGAAGAAATCCTAATCCCTCGTGTACTCCGGCACCTGGGCAACCGTTTTCAGGGAAACTCTAAGCAGTAGCCTCCGGGCCATGATGAGAAGCCCTCATCTCACGCTAGACTTACCTGCCAATCATCAGAACTCATAACTTGAGAAGAATGGGGAATTATCCGGCG